TATATATATATATATATATATAATGTTTTATATTATATAATTATTTTGCATTATGCTTTAATAAAGTAATGCATTTATTATAATATAATGTATTGTATTATTCAAAGACTTCAAAGATGAAATCTACGGAATAATTTTGAAACGAACATAAAGAGTAAGATGGGTCTTCGAGAATGAAAGTTAACTTCCGATCCGTCCACTTGAGTTTCTGCTTCGTTGAGACGTTGCCCATTAGATAAGGAATTGTTTTCTTTGTAGTTTCTTAAGAATTTGGAACTCGCGTGAATCTCACTCCCAACACATCACGTGACAAACATGAGAATTTTCCCTTCAATTGCTTGCGAACGGCGAGAGCGGAAGAATTCAAAGGACCCGCTGATGGGATAAGACATTATGGCGGACATCCTGTTATCTAACAACTGTTAGGTTCTGTCGTCATATTCTTCTTACAGGCTCTTGTGAAGAATTTCTGGAACGGAAATAGCAACTTCCAAGTCCTTAATCTACTTTTCTCCATCATTAAGCCTCTAATGATTTCGAGTATGGAAAAAGAAGTCCAGTGGAAGAGTCTTGTGCTCACACACACTCACCTCAAAATAACATTTCTAAAACAAGTGAAAATGACGGTCTAAAAACGCAAAGCTTGGCTTGTATATGTCAGGAGCGACGCCTAATTGAAAGAGAACATATTGTAAATGCAGAAGGAAAAACTAAAAATATATAATTTGTCAGGAGTAAGCAAGATCATCAAATAGTTCCGATGTTGTTCACCCAGTTGGGTTTAATGCACTCTTTCGCCTAGAGATAAAAAAATATATTTAAATTATGTGAAAGTGTTTTGTTTTTTTTTAGTATGGTTAAGTCTTTAAAATGATTTCCCATTGCATTATGAGTGTAAAATTGATTCAAGGTCAGCAATGAGGGCTACTGACGACCAGGAAAGCATTGGTTTGTTCCAAAATGTGGCGTTTACAATGACTTTGTGTGATCTATCTAAACAATATTTTCATTTATTTCGATGGATCGAATGCAGGGAAATAATACTAATGGTAAAAAAAACTCTGGGCTCGTCGAATCCCCTAGGATTTCTATAAAATATCGTACATTTTAAAGAAAGAAGGGAAATGATGCTATGATTTTGTTCACAAGTTTTTTATAGAGACGCAAACCTTTCTGTAGGACTAATTGAATTATAGATTCTCGTTTTGTGTTTGTTTTATTGTCATAAATAATAATTAATGTAATAATATATAGCTTATTGCGTTCAATTATAAATGGCGTTTCGGGGAGAGATATTTGTAAATGCCGATATATGAATTACATTGTGCTAGATAAAAAGTGATAGGTTTTGTAAACGAGTAAAACAGAAATGTATTATTTTGAGCACTTTGTAAAACGTGCCTTTTGCACAGAGGCATCGAGGGATGCAACACATGAAATGTTAAGGCAACCTGTTCTGTGACTTGATAAATAGAACTAAAGTCCCTAAATTATAATTCGCTGCTTATTACTTTCGATGGACTAATGAAGTTTGGGTAGTACGAGGTTGAAAGTATAAAATATGTGATGGTTCGTGGAAGGTCGAACATCCAGAGACCAGGGACGTTTTTGAGGACATTGGCCCGTCCGTCGCTCCGCTCTTGGACACAAAAACGCGGCTTCGCTTCGCTTCGCTTCTCGCCGCGTCGTGCCGGGTGGCAAAGAAGGCAGGCGGGCTGGACTCGACTCGCCGCGCCGCGCCGAGGTGGCAACCCGGGCCTGTGGCGCAGTGGAGCGGTGCCTGCGGGTTGCGACGTAGAAGCAGCAGCAGTAGCGCCGGCGGCGGCGGCGGCACGGCGGGGAGTATCGATTTTCTTGTGGCGCGCAGACGGCGTCGCAGTTGCCGATATTGCCCGCCGCCCCCGCAACCTCCGTCTCCGCCGCACACTCTTTCTTCTCCTCCTTGCACTTCCCCTCTCACCGGCTCCTCTTCGACCGCCACCTTCAGCCCCCCCTCAGCCCCCTCCTCCCCATCACTCTGCCAATCACTCATTACAGTCAACGCGACCTGTTTTTTCCTCGGTGTTTTCGTCTTTTTTTCGGCCCCCTCTAATCTTCTCCCATATTTTCGATCTCTTTTTGATCTTCCCTTCAGCCCACGTCGTTATCTTTCGTAATGGTTCTTTCATCTCGCTCTATTTCTTCTTTGAGCTCAATGTACTGGAAATTGTACGCGAGGGAAAATTTGATTCTCTACTTTTGACCTGGTGACATTCCATTTCTCTGGAATGCCAAGGGTTAAGCCACCTCTGTTAACGTGGCATTATCATAATGTAGTGCGAAAGAACAAGCATCTCAAAGCAGATGAAGAAATTTCTCGTTGCTTACAAAAGTATTTTCACAAAGTTATCGACAAGATGTCAGTGAAATGCATTAATTAATACATTATCGAAATATCGTGATTTCTTTACTACTAATGATCCATCGAGTTGAGAATGTGTTTCCGATGACCTCCGTGGAAAAATCTCAAGGCATCGAATGATGCTAAACAGAATTTTGACTCAATGGCAATTTCTTGCAGATGTGTTGTGATGAGACAGATGCAAAACTATTAAAAGAATAATAATAATAATAATAATAATAATAATAATGAAGTGAAGCAGAATTTGTCTGCAATGTACACATTTAATAGTTAGAACAAATCTTGTCTCGTGAAAAAGTACATGAAAGTGCTTGTGACAACTACGCGACCACAAGGACTTTTTATGAAAGCAAACCAAAGTAAAGTTACGTCAATTTTTGCTTTTTAAACAAACATGTTTGAATTAATGAAAACATAGACGTGTATGATTGGCGTAAGCTAATAATTAATTCTATAAGTAAATCAATACAAATAATACTTCGTAGAACGTGGATTTCTTAGATCACGTCGCTAATGTCTTACATTGTATTATGACACTTATATTAAAATAGCTTGTACTTAATTTCACAATTAGATGTGGTGTGTTGCGAGATGAATTACATTGTTAGTGTGCCGCATGTTGAAAACGGCTGTCGGTCATAACGAAATTGAAATTCCTTCTCATTCAACAGCTTCTCATTTGACCTCTCTTCATTTTCCTCCTCCTCTGACTTCTCTTCCACCTGCTTCTCCTGCCCTTTCGTCTTCTTGCGTCTCCTCCTCTGTCCTTTTTCCCCTTCCTCCTCCTCGTCGCACTTCCGCCCCGTGTGAGGCGCGTCGCGTTTACGCCCGAGAGGCCTGGAGAGCGGCGGGAGGTTAGGGTTGGGGGAGGAAGCACTGTAGCGCGAGGGGGAGGGGTCGGCGTCGGGAACAGGGGGCGTGTTCTTGCTGAGTTCCAATGGCCCTCGCCCTAGGCGCCGCTCGCCCTCGTGCATGCGTTTATTTTGGGAACGTTTATTCTGAGGAACGAACCAGCCCCTGCAGCACTCTCGTTGCTTTCGGCGTGTGGAAGTGGACGAGGAAGTAGAAAGAGACACGCTCGCTGACCAAAGAGCTTCGTTCAACTTCAGAAAGCAGTAAAATATCTTGGCATAATCAGAAGATCTAAAGAGATGCTTAAATGCCTAAACATTACATGAGAGAGTTTAATGAGAAGTGCGGTAATTTTGTAACGTTTGGTGTAACTACCTTCTCCTTTCATACGCTTTTCAATTTGTCCGCGTTGCGTCCTATTGATCTGTTTCAGTTGTCTTTTCAGCAAGGGATTGTTGTCTTTCTTCGCCACACGACTTACCTAGCTCTCATTTTCATAGGTTCTAGAGTCAGATGCATAGTCAACTATCTGAATTTAAACGAAGTGAATTCATTAAAGTGAGTTTCGATTTCATTTTCTCTTTTTTGTTATAAAATGTTTAAATTGTCTTTAATTTTATCTAGTCATTACTAAGTTTTCATAGTAAATGAAATTAAAGGAGTACTAACTCAAGTAAAAGGTATGCCATTGCTCTAATCGTATCTAGGTATTCAGGCGCGCATGACAATCACAGAATTTGCGCCCCTGTCAGGATACTTCGAATTAGGTTTCTTAGTGGTTCTTTCGGGTATACTCTAAAAAGCGCTCCTTGTGAGTGGCGCCCATGACTGCCATAACGTAGATAAGCCTATGGCCATAGCATATCTGAAACTAGCTTGTAGTTACGGAAATAAAGTTGAGGCGTGGTTTTGTCGTGTTTATTGCTGCATTAAGCTTTATCGGTCGCTTTGCGGCAATCTTCGGTGCGATTCTGAAGCAGCTACCAGCCCCGTAAGCGACAAAAACTGGTGTTTGCACTTGTGCAGTGTGACGGCTGATTAGAAATGACTTTTTCGATACACCGAGTTCTCTTCGCATTATAGAAAGTGTTTTAGCGCTTTGTAGGTAGAGTTCCCGGCAAATTGATATGGTTATTGCCAAAGTGGTGAAAGCTTGGTAATTTGAACAAGATTATCATTTGCCAGAGTGGACAATCCAACATTCCACATAAAATTGCCCTTGATTTCTGCCCTTTACACGTTATGCAGCCCGTGACGGGCAAGAGAGGCTTCTCGAGGCTGCCTCTCCCTGATGGCAAATCTGTCGCGAACAAAGCATGTAAGCAAGCAATTTACTACCGACGTGAGGCAGGTCGACAAACCTTGCTTGCCTGTAAAAGAGTAATATTAGAGAAAAATCGCATGGTGCAGATGCACGTACTTCACCACTGATGGACGTAAGAGGGAATATTTTGCGGAATAGCCCGGAGTGGCAGTGACATAATTCTACGTTCTCGTGGCTTTCGTTCTTTGAGTGAGTGGGGTGAACTTCTCCGTGTTTCAGCTCATGAAGGTGTCGAAGGCCCTGCTGGGGGACCGCCTCTTCAAACTGATGATGAAGGCCACCTTCTACGGGCACTTCGTGGCGGGCGAGGACCAGGAGAAGATCAAGCCTACGCTGGAGCGCCTGCGCTCCTTCGGCGTCAAACCCATCCTCGACTACTCGGTGGAGGAGGACATCAGCCAGGAGGAGGCCGAGCGCCGCGAGGTCGAGTGAGTACCAGCCCCCTCCCCCCTCCACTCACGCACTCCTGTCTGCCCCTTCCCCACTATTCCTACCTCTTGCTCATCCCCCTGTTTCTTTACATTCCCCTTGTTTCTCTTCGTCCCTTTGCCTCTCTACCATCCCCTTGCTTCTCTACCTTACCTCCTTGCATCACTTCCTTGCCCATCGCCACCCTTCCACCCCCTTGCCTATCCAACTCCCCCCTTGCCTATCCAACTCCCCCCTTGCCTATCCAACTCCCCCCCTTGCCTATCCGACTCCCCCGTGACCTTATCCGGATACCCCCTTGCCTCATCGACTCCCCACTTGCCTATCCGACTCCCCCCTTGCCATTCCGACTATCCCCCCCTTCCTACCACTCCCCCTTGCCTATCCGAACTCCCCCCTTGCCTATTCCCGACTCCCTCCCTTGCCTATCCGAACTCTCCCCTTGCCATCGACTCTCCCCAACTCTTGCCATCCGACTCCCCCTTCCTATCCGACTCCCCCCATTCCTATCCGGAACTCCCCCCTTGCCTAATTCCACTCCCCCCTTGCCTATCCGACCCCCCCCTTGCTCTATCCGACTCCCCCCTTGCCTATCCGAACTCCCCCCTGCCTATTCGACTCCCCCCCTTGCCTATCCGACACCCCCCTTGCCTATCCGACTCCCCCTTATGTCCCATCGCTCCCTATTGCCTATCCGACTCCCCTTGCCTATCCGACTCCCCCTGCCTAATCGACTGCTTGACCCCCCTTGTCCTATCCGACCCCCCTTGCCCTAACTCCCTGTATCACTCCCCTTGCTAATCCGACTCCCCCTTATCACTCATCCTTGACTCCACTCCCCCTTGCCTAATCCGACTCCCCCTTGCCTATCACGACTCCCCCCTTGCCTATTCGACTCCCCTCTCCTATCCGTACTCCCCCTCTTGCCTACTCGACTCCCCCTGCCATATCCGACTCCCCCCTTGCCTATCCGATTCCCCCCTTGCCTATCGGACTCCCCCCTGCCGATCCGACTTCCCCCCTTGCCTATCCGACTCCCCGTTGCCCTAATCCGACTCCCCCCTTGCCTATCCGACTCCCCCTCTTCCTATCCTGACCCCCCCTTGCCTATCGACTCCCCCCTTGCTATCCACTCTCCCCCCTGCCTATCCGGTACTCCCTTGCACTCCGATATCCCCCTTCCCTGCCCTATCCGACTCCCCTTTGCACCTCCTAATTCGACTCACCCTCCCCCTTGCCTATCCGACTCCCCCCCCCTTGGCCTATCCGACTCCCCCCCCCTTGCCTATCCCGACATCCCCCCCCTTGCCTATCGACTCCCCCCCTTGCCTATCCGACTCCCCCCTCCTTCCAACTGCCTACTATCCGAACTCCCCCCTTGCCTATCCGCTCCCCCCCGTGCGATCCGGACTCCCCCCTTGCCTATCCGACTCCCCCCCTCCTTGCCAATCCGACTCCCCCCCCTTATGCCTATCCGACTCCCCCTTGCCTATTCCGACTCCCCCCGCTTGCCTATCCGGACTCCCCCCCTTGCCTATCCGATCCCCCCCATTTGCCATCCGACTCCCCCTTGCCCTATCCGACTCCCCCCCCCTTGCCTATCCGACTCCCCCCCTGGCCTATCGACTCCCCCCCCTTGCCTATCCGACCTCCCCCCCTTGCCTATCCGACTCCCCCCCTTGCCTATCGACCTCCCCCTTGCCTATCCCGACTCCACCCCCCTTGACCATACTCCCCCCCCTTGCCTATCCGACTTCCCCCCCCTGCTACGACTCCCCCCCCTTGCCTACTGCCCATGATCCGCCCCCCCTTGCCTATCCGACTCCCCCCCCCTGCCTATCCGACCTCCCCCCCCCTTGCTATCCGAACTCCCCCCCCTTGCCTATCCGATCTCCCCCTTGCCTATCCGACCCCCCCCCTTGCTCTATCGACTCCCCCCTCTTGCCTATCCGACTCCCCCCCCTGCCTACCGATCCCCCCCCCCTTGCCTATCCGACTCCCCCCCCTTGCCTATCCGACTCCCCCCCCGTGCTATCCGACTCCCCCTTGCCTATCACTCCCCCTTGCCCTAGGGGGTGAGCTTGATCGGAGGGCTGGTATGCCACTCTGCCAGACCTTGATTCCCCCTGGCCTAATCCGACTCCCCCCCCTTGCCTTATCCGACTCCCCCCCTTGCCTATCCGACTCCCTCCCCCTGTCTTCACCCCTTGCCTTTCTCCTCGTTCAGTCACTCCTCCTTGCCACTCTACATACCTTGATACCCCGTCACTCCTTGCCACTCTACATACCTTGATACCCCCTTGCCACACCTCCACTTTTCCTCCCGTTTACCTCAGCACCTCCTTGCCTGCATACCACCCTCATTGTTTCCCTACCTTAGTTGAAAATAGCCATTAGATTGTTTGGTATTTGATATTAAAGTGAGATGCTTTTGGCCCATTATTCCACTAGCGTAAATGAAAACAAATTTTTCCTGTAATGTTTTACTTAACATAAAATCCTCTTTATTGTCTTATCCGATAGTTCGATATCTGAAATCTATTAAATTCTGTAGTGTATCTGCCTAGCCTTTGCGCAAGGACTGCACGAGAATCAGAAGCTGTTTGAACTCGTTTGCTGGAAGTAGACGTAGCCGAAATCAACGGATGTTCCGTGTTTGGAAGGATTTCCTGGTTCGAAGGCCATTGTGTTAACTTCCTGGTCCAAGGATATCTTACCGATACAGAAGAAACTCAAATTATATTAGTTCTGTGCTATACTAGTTTGGGGATTAAATTGTTTCGCATCAAGCAACCTTTCCAATGGATAGATTTAGATTTATTTAGTCAAAAAGCAGTAAAAACTATATTGACGAATGGTGGAGATGATGGTGATTTCTAAATAAGGTTATTCTTATGACTACGTTTAATGGGTTATATTATTTTTGAATTATAGACCGTCAAATACGTAAATACATAAAGTAGTAAACATGTTACGTTTTTGACTGTCTTATAATTAGAAGATACTATAACCTATTAAGTAATTCCTAAATGACGCGTTTATTTTTTTAAGAACTTTTATTAGAAGATGAAAGAGAACGCAACGTCTAAAATGTTCCAGGTGATAACGTTATCTTCTGGACCTATGGCATATGTAGTATATGTCTATGCCCTCCCTCTCATCATCAGTTTTTAATTTCTCTACGCTACCGCGGTTGAGTGAAAGTTCTGTAATGCTTTGCGGAAAAAAGAAAAATTTTCGGCAGTAAAGCTCTTATTACAGCGCCCTGGTAACAACAAAATGTATAAATCTAGTTACAAAGTGGATTCTGGGTACACCACGTGTTAAGAGGATCCCCCCCCCCCCTATTTAGTGAGTCCTTGGTACCGAAAAATCCATTGACGGCAAAACGTCCGACCATGTGTGGACAACGCTATCGGCTTTTCGGTTCAGCCGATTTTCTCCAAAATTGATATTCCCCTGTCGATCTATCTGAGGTCGCTGCCCCTCACATTTTAACTAATATTTTATTTAAATTATTTTAATTTAATTAAAATAAAAACTAATATTATTGTTGTTTAAGAGCGCAGGCAAGATGTGGTTAAAACTATGATTTTTCGAAAATTGAAAAAAAACTTTTTTTTCGGTGCCTTCGTAAAACTACAATTATTAAGATACAATTGTTTTTCTAAATGAAAATGTGTTCATAAAAACAGATCTTCAAGAAGTCAAGTTGAATGTTTTGAAAACATTAGTATTTTTTGTGTAATTTGGCGACAAACATGAGTCGCCTGCTTCCAATTTAAGTAGTTAGATGCTATGTAAGTTAGAATTTGTATGTATTATTTCATACTTCATTTTATTATAATTTGATTTATTTATTCCATTTTAAATTGGGACCTTAACATTAAATGCGAAAACTAATAGATGAGCGGCTATTGTTGGTTGTAATGCGGCACTGATAACAAAAAGCGATAATGACAGCCTTTCGTTCGTGGTATTATCTACTAACACTTTTATGTATTTGTAGAATATTACAAAACCATAGTCTTCAATAATTACTATTATATAGTTTTCGACCTATTTGCATTTGTTTTCCAACGCTATCAGTATCGTATTATTTATTAACTTTTAATTATTTTACTTTCTCGCACGATGAATATTGTAAGACCAAAATCTCATCCCATTCGTGAATACACTGCATACCTTGTACAGTGAATTCAATGCCAAAAATATATTTTCATTTCAAGTTTTGAATAAAAAATTATTGGTTGAAACTATTTAATTTTCCCACCAAATGTTGTACGATTTCAAATGAGTTTTGCAAAAAATGATGACCGAGATGTGTTAATTCGGAGAGATATTGTTAGATGAATAGTATTACATAACAATTACCAAAGGCGAGAAAGTACGTGCACCACTAGTTTTGTTGCAGTTTTACTCAATGCGTTGAAAACAATTTCCACGTATTGATCCATAGCATTCAAAAGGAGTATAATTATTAATAAATATACTTAAAAAATAATTCCAAGCGAAAAACATTTTAACTGATCCAAAAATATTTGTGGAGAAGGAAGGCTTCAACTGAAATTGATGCTGCTACCACCCCCACCCACTCCCATCTGAAATACTTTCTGGATCCATCCCCGTTTGGATTCCTTGAATGAATAAAACGAGTTTCTTGGGGTTCCACTTTTGGGGTGCTTGCGGGGTGCGCAGTGCCTCGTGTTGTGGTTCTTCTTGGAGCGCCCGTGGGTGTCGCACGTCGCTATTCGAGGAAAACCCAAGTTTAAGTCAGCACGTGCCGAGTGCGGTAGCACGTGGATGTGGCGTAAGTTCCCTGCCCCGGGAGGTGAGTGTCACAGCTGGGTGTGGAGCGTGTGTGTGAAGGATGAAAGGGGGTGGGCGTTAAAGACGACGCTCTCTCGTGACTCATCAGGTGACCCCAGGCCCAGGCTCAGGCCCAAGCCAGGCTACGCGCTATGGGAGGCAGACCCGCCGGCCGGCCGGCCGCGCGCGGGAGAGCTATTCGTGGAGCAGACGTCTAGACTCGCTGCATTCTTTGCCCCGCGGCGCGGCCCGGCTCGGCCGTGGAAACCAGTTCCCCTATCTGCTTCCACATTCGCATCCTCTGTCGGCCTGCCACGCCCTTGCTCAACCCCCGGCGAGCGCGGGAAAGGCTCTCGAGCTCTTCCGTGGGCGAGGTCGTTTTTTTTTAAAGCCAGGTTGTGCGGTAATTATTACGCGAGACGTCAGAGTGCGGCCATCGAATGAGAAATGTGTATCGAGATATTTTCGGGTGGGGGGACTGAAGAAAACTTAGTTTATTTACCGTGAAGAGGAATTTCTAATTCATTTTCGTCTATTTCCTTCCCCATGTTGGGGAAATTGGGGAGGAGGAAGGACTCTAAAACCCACCTGACCGTACACCGTTGAAATACTTACAAACGGAATTTTATCTCGCACTTTCGTTATTAGAAGTTTCACCTAAAATGGGTTAACGAAATAGTACCAATATGATGCATCTAACATGTTATATTTTCGTTATTTATTTTGTAATGTCAATTCAAACCCTGGACAAACTTCATAGTAAACAAGATTCATTTAATGACAGTTATTATTATATTCAATTAATTTCAGTAAATTTGAAGGAAAATTGCCTTTCAGTTTCCACAATGTCTTTAGTCAACATTGATATACCGATAAAATAATTGTTCGCTCGAAGACCTCTGGTGTGTGTGCGTATGTGTGTGTGTGTTTTCAATGGACAACTGAAGAAATCTCACGGTTTATTTAGGGGAATTCTAATAGTATCAATTTCAGTATAAGACTTTTTCGTTGTAAATATGATTCGAACGTTCTGCTCCACCATCCCCAAGCCATTTTCCCCTAGCCAAACTAATTTCCCAAACAATTCTTAGAAAGGCAAACAAAAATTATGTACAATTTTTTCGCAATATCCAAATTATGTATAAATTTTAGCTTTTTTAATAATTCCTGGATTTAATGTAACAATTAATTTGGAGGGGGGTAATAGTTTCAGAACTTTGGTTTAGGTACTTTAGTTACTACAGAAGTTAGTATAGTAAGAGTAGAATAGGTAGTTGTAATTTATGTTAATTTGTAGAACGTAATTTAAATTTTACAATTTCACTAATGTTTTGTTGTGCCGGCGACCCTCGTATGTAGATAGAGATGGATCTTTCGCCTTTAACCCTTTTTGACAATTACTTCAGACATGTCTGTAGTGGATTGTCAGGACCTGTAATGCTGCACTTAGCGTTTGCATTAGTGGTCCAAAATTGCCTTCACTGGCAGAGTAACAAACATTCACAGCCTTCTTTTTCTGCTCTCGTTTTCAGAGGGAGCGTGTCTGCAGCTGGCGACGAGAAGTCGCAAGGTGAGCCACCTTTACGCGAAAATACATCGCGCCACCGCAATGTGATTCATCCTAGTCGGAAAAAAATCGTTGCGTAAGAAGTAGCACACAAGCATGGTACAATTTCCTGATCGTTAAAAAAATTAAATTGGATTTAAAAATTAGAGGGAATAAATTAAATGTAATTAATAAGTTTAGATGCGTGTTGTTGAAAGTAAGCTATACAAATTATATTTCTGTATTTTTGAATATTGAATTTTGTGGATCAGAGTTACAGGTTCATCTGTATTATGTTCCCATAAATCAGAAGTGTATGTAGGGAATTGGAGTGTGTTCATGCTGTTTTCGGTCATTTGTTTTCAGTACTACCTGTGTGATTGTTATATTTCTTGAAAACTGCAAATGATAATGTTATTAGAGCTATTTGAACTGCAGATTATAAAAGTATTCTGATGGGCTGAGCAACTCTGGTACCTTAGAAGATGTAGGTGATTGTAAAATGCTGAGGGAATGCTGTTGCTAGTATGCGATACCTCACAATCTTAGATATGTCACGAGTTGCTGATGCGTGGGACCTGTCTCTTTATCAGTGCAAGTTGTCAGCGTAAGCTAAATATTGCTAGATCCTAAAGTATTATGTTACTGCTGTTGCAGCAGCTGTTGAATGAAAGGGAAGTTGTACGTGCTTAGTTGGCTCTGCTGTGACTTTCATTCTTTCATGTCATCTGAGAAAGCAGTGAAAGAAATTCAGACCTGCATGAAGACCTTCAGCAGAATTTGTGTGTGCACTTATCCAAATTGCATCTTTCCTCTTGTTCATGGCATATAGTACCTTGCCTCTCCTTTCTATCCTCCAATCATTTATAATTTCTTACTGTTTTCCTTTTCTTTTGTCCAAGTGTTCTACTTGCTAAAACACTTCATCACTTTCAAAAATCACATGTGGGTGAAGGCACAAAGAAAGATGGAACCCTGATATTAAGCAAACTTAAAGTGTAGCTGTTTTGGTATTGGTCTTAAATAGACTGAAAAATTCTGTTGCGATTCTCATTAAATGAGAAAAGTACTTTCTACATCAATTGACAGAGAATTCTAAATTTTGTGAGAACAGTTAATGTTCTACTCTGAAACAAAATGTTGAATGTTAAAATCACAGTATTCAATTAATTTTGAATGGTGAATTGTAAATTGTTATTGGTTTTTCTAAGTGTTACTTAAAATCCTTTAAGAGAAATTTCTGTCAAACACACATAAAAACATACTCACACCTGCACACACCATACTTGCCTCCATTAAATTTGCAGGCCTAGAGACACCACCTTAGTCTCCTCATTTCCTCAAATTAAAGTATTACACAGAAAAAAAGAACAGTTGCACTATACTGATACTGTATACTGGTCCATGGTACTGTAACAAGTTCCCTTGGTACAGTATCATGGATCTGGTATACTGCAACTGTTCTTTTTTTTTCTGTGTATGCTCATTTTTATTACAAATGGTTCTAATTCATTTCTGAATACCATAACAAAAGTTACTTCTTTCTGAGCTCTGAAGTAGCTTGTAGCTTTCATTCAGTACAAAGGTTACTACTTCAAATTTGTAACAAAGTATCAAATTTAAAAACAACCTTTTCCTGAAACAATTAAAATAGGGAAAAATCATTCAGTTTTTATTGTTATTAATTTCTTAAATTCATTGTAATTTTATTTGTAGATAACTCTTCATAGTCTTTTGTTAGAATTTGATAGACATTGTAAAACTTCCTTGATTTTCCTGTCTTCAGGTACTCTGACACAGTATCATGTGGATAAAACATTTGCTGATCGCCGATACAAGGTTAAAAGTGCTCGCACATACTTCTACCTGAATGAAGCCCAGTGCGAACGCAACTTGGAAACTTTCCAACGTTGTTTGGAAGCAGTCTCGGGTAAGATACTTTAATATTTGATTTTTTTTTTTAATATATTAATATTAATATGTACTCCACACCATTTTTAAGTAGTTCACATATCTTTTGGAAGACATTTAATTGGTTACCTACCTGTTATTTCTTGTTAACATGTGAAAATTACCAGTCTAAAAAAGATCAGTTTTTTTTAATTGCTGTGTTTTTATAATTAAAACCAATGATTTGAACTTCTAATAGATTGTGAACATGTTGAAGAAAAGGAAACATATCATAATGAATTACATTATCTTGTTTTACAGCATCTTCTTGTTCTTTGTATTGAGTAGAATTTTCTACATATTTTCATCATGAGTTACAGCTGCAATCAAGCACTTCTAAATCCTAATCCTTTTCAAGTGATTCCTACACCTTGCTGGGAAACTTCCTATACTGTGTTTTAAACAATTGGAATATCCATTTGCATAAAACAAAAACAAGGCCCACCTTAACTTATCATGGTACTTTAGCTTTAATATATTTAGTTTTCTTTAGAATTGGAGGCTCAAAATACGAATTATCCACCAATCTTCAGTTGTTAAATTGAAAATATTGTGAGACATCTCATTATTGTATAAAAAAACCATTGTTTTGTAGTTCATCTATTTTGTAGAAGGTAAAGATATGAAAAAAGTAAGATAACATCTTTGTAAGGGTTAGAACTAATATTCTGTCAATGTGGTCTGGATTTGATATTAGTTCCTTTATTTTTAATTTCCTAATTTGGAAAATGAATAATATACCACATTTTCATAGTATTATACTAATATTTATAATTTTTGAATGTGCTTTGCTTGGCAAAGAAATTACATTTTGCTTTTGTGAGTTGAAAATAATTTACGGAGAGGAGAAGATTCAGAATTAAGTTTTCAGTTATGGTCATTATATGTTTGTCCTTTTCTTTATTGAAGCACCTTCTATCTTACGTGTAAACCACACTTTCTCTTCTCTCTCTTTCTTTGCATGAAAATTCATTTGCATTTCTTTCTACTTTTAAATTACTGTGCCAGTGGCTAGTATAGAGAGTTTTCCCAGTAAGTGTCTTTACAGACAGGCACCTTGGGGAGCATGAATGAGCACCCTCACACACAACTTGTGAACTTCCTGTGATGAGTGATCACTTTTGAAGTAACATGTGGAATATTCTGTTAATTCCTTGATCATATCTCGTGTTAAAGAAAACAAATAATGGTAAAAATGTAGTTATTTATCACAAATATAATTTTTGCAACTGCCCATTAATTTTATTTTATTTTATTTCTTTTTATTTTTTTTATATTAATTACCAATAAAGTACAAATGAAATTGAAAATTCACAGTAATGGCATCCAATAATCTTCTTTATTTTTTTTTTTTTTTAAAAGGTCTTGTTCTATGAACAAATTTCTTGTTGATAGTCACAAGTTTTCTTGTGTTATCCTGTAGAAAGTTGCTGAAAATCTTGACGTATTTATTGTTCACATTCTTACAGAATATATACCAAATGTTATTTCATTTTTTAATTTTATTTTCCAACAAATAGTATTCCAATCAATGGCATTTTGTGATGATTAAGAACATTTTGTGCAACTTCTCACTTTTCCAGAAGATGTAGACAGTTTTGGATGAATTTTGATATGATCTTTTCTCTAATCAGTCTAAATTTAATTTATTAAATCTGCCAAAGGGAATCAACGAATCCATGCGAGTGTTGAAAGTTCGATTCAGAGAAGTGCCTAAATGCTCTTATTCATAATTTATTATTGTCATCACAATTTCACAAATCGGCTGTGGTTAAAAGGCTAGATTTATGCCATAGTGATAGTACTAGACAAAGTAAAGGGCCCATACCAATTTGTTTTGCCACTTAGTGTATTATTCATAATTTTGATTGTATTGTTGATCAAATTATCTGGTTGAAATATTCAGATTACAATTTCAGAACTTTTTTTTTCATACAAATTTAATTTTGTTTAATAAATATATTGACTTTTTAGAGAAACTGTGTTTTAAACATCTGGAGTGGGGAATAAAAACTATAAACATAATTATGAGAGAAACAGTAAAATATAACATTGCTTATTTTAGTGCATTTATTAGTGAATGAAAGTTGTTTTTGAGTTGTGATGGAACTTTTAATCTTTTTTTCTTCCTACCTAATAAAATACATTTCCATTGTAGGTTTATGGAACTACTGCTATGGCACATTTCTAGCCAAAATGGACAATATGACTACAGTTCTTTCTTGAAGAGATGTATGATCGTAAATTAAATTGTACTAGCAGGGTGTGTTTCATTTGTTTTGTGTGTGTGATGCAGAAACTCTTTTCCAGAAGAGACCTGAAACTTCAGAGTTCAACAAGAGGATTCAACAAGTTATACGCATTAGAGCAATGTAGATGAAACTTACTAATGAATCCAATCCCACCAATCTATGAGCATTGCAAAGATTTGAAAGAACATCAGGCATAGATTTCATCTCTATTTTGAATGTAGAGGTTTTTGCCAAAATCTTTGTCTTTTAGACCTACTATCGTAATTTCATGTTTGGTAGGTTGACAACTGAGTAGAGATACTTAATATTTTCTTGAAAAGAGTCTGTTCCTTGAGATAATCCTAAATTGCAAGTTGGACTGATGTGAAAGGCAGAGACCATTGTTTGTGAATAAGTTATGAAAAATAAATGTTTGTTTTCTTGAAGTCATTCTAAAATAATTCTTTTTATTTCTGCAAGAATTTTGAAGACCTGTTTGGACACCAGTTATTTTAAATCTTATGGTACTCTTTCATATTGTAATATTTAAGTTTTACAAGTAATATTTTTTTTGAATTTCAGCTCTAGTCTAAAAAAAACATTCTTTACTTATTAATATTTTAATTTATTACCTTTCACTTCTGTCCTTCTGTAACGGAGTTTGAAGCGTGCCCAAGTTCTATATCTTCGTGCTTATTATCTTGCCAAAATTAGATAAGGCTGAACCTATCGTTTTTTGAATATATTAGCTGTGTGTTAAAGTGTGCCTGAATAACAGCGCAAGTGAATTATATTAACATGGTTTCTGTTTTATAAATGACTCAATATTTAAACTCAAAACTAATTTTGTGTGACCTTCTACTTAGACAAACTCCTTAATTTTTTTTTTTCCTTCTATTTGTTTATGCTGCGCAATCCATCTTCAATCCATTCCTTGGGGCTCTGTCAACTGGAATCCTACATATCCAATTTACGCCTGACTGTCCTAACTCAATATCCATGTGACTCCATGATCTGCCATTGGCAGATGATGACATTAAAAGTGCCAAACTCAAAATCCTATCTACCAGTAATCCTGAGTCTTCCTTGGACAAAGGAAGCAGCTGCTTTTCTGGTAAGCTGTTTTGTCTTCCTCTCTCAATGTCAGTGCTCTTCAAGATAGCCTCTTAAGTTTGGATAAAGGATATTTGATAAAATAGTTTACATAATGTCAAACAAGTTGTTTTGTAAATGTTTTTGTTAACATATAATTTATATAGTGGTTATTTGTAATGTTACATTAAATGCAGTAAGGAAATCATTGTTGGATTGCTCTTTTCTTGCTGTAAATGTAAGAACAGTATGGGTGCTATGGGAATATGAGAAAAGTTAATATTTTAAATATTTATTTTTGTAGTTAATTAGGCTACAAATAAAAGATAATATAAAGTATAATCCATGACATAAAAGTGAATATTGTTGCTGACTTTGTGTCAAGAACTCATTTCCCTCTCTAAAAACTATTGGTTTTTCTTATTATATTGTCTCTTAGTCTGTTTCATCAATTTGTGAATCGAGATTTTATCTTCAGTGGAATTATGGCAATTAAGATACTAAAATATAATTCTCATTCTTTTGAGAATTTCATCAATATTTTATCATCAGACAGTTTTTGAATTGTTGGTTAAGGAAAGTTGCAGGAGAAAAATAAATAGGAAGTATGGTTTATTAGAAAAATATTAAATGTTCTTCAACATTCTAAAGATAACATTTAATGCCCATTAAGATTTGCTGTGCTTTAGAATAAAAAATGCATTTTAACCTGATTTGATTTAATCTGACTTCAAAAAGGGAGGAAAGCAGTGGGTACCAAGTCAATTAAGATTAATTTTAAATGTACTGATGTTGCATCAGAATTGATGAATTCTCATTAATTTGATAGACTTAGCATTGCTCAGGTATGGTAATTTAGATGATGAAGAGTAGTTCTTACGGTTTGCTATTTGCCTTTTAAATTCAGATATATCTAAAAATCAGTCTTTTTGATTTGAGATTTAGAATAAAAGTATATCCTTATCAGATTGTAGTGTAGATATGTTCTTTATCCAGTGGGAGTCTTTGTTGTTGAGGCACTGTCTTGTCCTTCCCTTGTCCTGCAGTTAACCTGTCGCAGCTTGTGTTATATCTGTATTGAGAGCTATTTTTGGCAGGCTGGCTTTATGTTCTGTGAGAACTAGCACTACTTGGCTTAGAAGGAAAGATTATCACATACTCTGTACTTCTCTAATTTTCAGTTAACAGTATTTGACAATAAAATGTTGGCATAAGTCCAACTGTGACAATTGTTCTTGTAATCTTTGTAATAGTGTTGTGTTGATTTTCATTCGCTGCTGAAAGCAGTTGTTCATGTGTTCCTTGTCAATGCGAAGACAATAGTGATGAGGAAGTGTAGCCAGTGTGTGTGTGTGTGTTGTGCCAACAGAGAGACGTCGTTATTGCAAAGAAGAATGGTGTATGCTGAAGCGAGTCAAGAATTTATGTGTTTATCATATAAGAACAATTGTTCACAGTTAATTGTTATTTATGCCTTAAAAATATTTTGTGTACTTTCATTAAAGATATTTTGTAATAATGAAATCAAAAGTTTGTTATGAAATTGTCTTCCTTTTTGAATTCTTTAAAAGATAATTTTAATTTTATGAATTGATTTCAACTAGTGCTAGATCCTGAAGAATAATGCCAGCATTGCAACTGTATTACAATAAGACATTGTCAACAAAATTAAATTGTGCTTATATATGGGAATTTCTTGCACAAATCACCAGCAATTAAGAACTTTTCCACATTATAAAATCTTACTAATTATTATTGTCATTCAGTATGCACATTAGTCATCAATCACTTAAATCAGGTTGTATCATACTGAAAATTGGTCATCTTCAAATTTTGTCCCTCTGAGTTATTAATGTTTGGATATTTAAACATCCTTTTCTTATCGTTTATTAATTTGTATTTAAACATTTGCTAAAATAATTGTATGGCTTGATAATTAAATTTTCATGCACATGGCCATGCTGAATGCTTTATTGTAAATGCTTCACAGTTTCATGGAAATGATTCTCTCTCATTGAAAATGTATGAATAGTTAAAGAAAGGATTCATATATTATAATGTATTTCATTATTGCTGCAAATCTGGATAATTTGTGCATATTTTTGGTTATTGCTTAAGGGTAAATGCTTCTTGGGGAAAGATAAATGTTCTTGTTAATGAACTTTTTTTGTTTGTTTTGTTTTACAAAATAACTTCTGATTTTAAAATTCATATTAAAGTTGCTGGTTATATTTCTCTTTATATTTCAAATTTCTAGATTTAGTAAGCAAAGCTTGCATTTTCATTCGCTTGTGCTTCAATAGCTCTTATTCTTAATTTTTTTGTTATCAGTGCGCATAATTTACTTACTTCTGCTTTCCCTCCTACAAAAGTTTGATTTTATTATTTGAAATATGCTAGCAACTTTTGCAATCTGATGACCATCTTTATGTGATATGGAAGAATTCTTTTGAATTTTTTTAAGTAATTTCAACAAATAAGCGCAACACACTGAACATCATTTTATTGTGGTTGATGTTGAGTGACGATGATAATAAATGAAGCAAATTGAAGTTCTGTTGGGCATTTCACCTTGCATATTACAAACATTTTAATTTTTGTTTCAATTGATAGATTTGTGAAACTAAAATTTCTTGGAAGAAAGCATTTTGCCATTAAAATTACATACCAAGAAATCTATTAAATGTAATGTGAAATACAAAATTTGAATTCTTGCAATGTGTGGTGAAATGTCTAATACCATATTGACTTTTATTCGGTTCACATGAGTGATAACTAGGAGAATTTAAAAAAAAAATATGGATTGTCAGGGAGTTAGTGCCAGTTTCAAGAGAAAAAAATACAAAAACTTCAATTCTTAATTGTTTGTAAGAAAGAGAGAGAAATGAAAGAGGATTCCCAGAAATTCAATTGGTTGATCATTGGCAAGAGAGGAAAGAACAGATTCGAGAGATGAAACGAGGGAGAAACCGGGAGCAAGGCAGGGAGCTGGACATGCGCTTGATGGGTTCACAAAAACTTCGTCTTCCTACCATTCGTCTGTGCATCCAGGCAGATTGACGTGATAAGTTGGAAGCTGTATCACCTTGAAAGTACCCAATCCTCTTTTTTGACAAAGCCCTTTCTTTCTTTGGAAGAAAGGTGCCAAATATATTCTCAATATTTTAGAGAACTTTCCGAAATTAGTTCATGCATATGTTGTTTTTAATCCAAGAAGTAGAGATGGAAATTCTCAAAGTAAGGATCTTATCAATTTGGATGTTTTAATCTCCTGGTGGTACTTGAGAAAGTTAATTCCTTTCACTGTTGATTCTTTATATGAAAATAATTGTTTTATATTGGGAGGGGGTAGTGTACATTTGTAGTATAGTATATTATTCCATTTTTCACAATTTTCATTCATTGGTTGTGAGGTTACTGCTTGATACTCGTAGTTAAAAACTTGATGCTAATAATATTATTTTATGGATAATGTTTTTAAGTTATTCTTTCCTCTGCTTGGTTTAAAAAAAAAAAAAACTTAGCTATTTTTGAGGAAGTTATATTAATGTTTTTAAAAAACAAATACCTCCAATTTTTTTATTCTTAGTTACGAAAATAAAATTGAAAACTATACTAAGAGTTTTAAATCTGGAGTCAGCTTTTGGCTTTATAAACATTGAAACTCAACAGTGAGAGGAAACTCTTCAAAAAAATCGCTAGCAAAATTATTTTCAATATAAAAAATTGCTACAGAAATATTGCAAAAGTTACTGCCATCTCTCCTTCTTTAACTACAAATTTGCTTATGAGAATTGATTTTCTGCAAAAATATTATTTTATAATTCTTTTAAAGAAATAACATATTAGTTCATACTTTCATATCCTTTATAACAACATCCTTTGTGGATGTTTTATTGCCTTGAAGTTCTGAAAAAGACCAATTCAACATTGGTTGATAACTGATCTTACTGCTAGAGCCAATAGTATAAAGAGTGAATTTATTTCATGACATGAAATAGGTTTTTCATTGTATTTTTTTTGCATTGCAGGAGCCACGTTTGGTACTGGAATTTGTGCTATCAAGCTGACAGCACTTGGCCGGCCTCAGTTGTTGGTAAGTACTAGTTGATACAACAGTTCAATTTGATTGAGAAAGTGGAATGTGATAAAACAGTAGTCAGAATTGTACACTGGTATTTTAAATTTTTTTTTGGACCTGTCCTTTCAAAGTACCTTCCCATCTTTTTAAGTAATATAAATATATACACAAAATTGGATAAAGTTAATTATACAGCCAAAATCAGAAAAAGAGAACCAGGCAGGTAAAGAAAGAGATGAGAGGACCAGTAATCCCTTAGTTCTGATGATGATCTCCATCATCAGAGATCATTCATATTATTTTATGTAATACAACTTTATATATTCTTTAATATTATATTAATATATTATTCTTTGTTTCTGGGAAGAGAGTGAACAAATTACTACTGTGCTTAAGACTTTGTGAAATGTTTATACAGTTTTAAACTGTTTCTTTCAGGATGTGTAAAAAAAAAACTTTTCCTTGTTACATTAAGGAAATTTGTGTTAATCTTACAGTTGCAACTGTCAGAAGTAATTATGCGAACAAGACAATACTTCTCGGATGTAGTGGGTGGCCAAGGAAGTGTTATTTCTCATCATGTGGGTCCTGAAGTACTCGAAAAGAAATTTGAGCAAGCATGCTTACTAAGTGAAGCTCCTGTAAAGAAATTCCTTGATAAAATCACCTATGACAGAGAAGGGTAAGTACCTCGCACAGAATTGTTGATCACCAACCTACACAGAACCATACAGTTCTAGTATTAGGTGAAACAGGATTTCATGTGCAATAATGATTCTTTCAATGCATATTATATTCCATTGTTTGATTTGTATTGTTTTTCTGTCATTGAGAATAATTTCTCTATTTTTATTTGGTCTTTTTATTTTCTCACTAAGGAAATTGGTTCACCTGGTATTGATCAACCAGAAGTTTAATTTATATTTAACAGGAAAATTAGGTTTTGAGGAACCAAAGAACTGCAAAATAAATTAAAAAAAAAAATAGATGAAGGGGTACAAAGATTTGAACCTAGTAGAGCATTTTATACATTTGTAATATTTTCTTTTGAGTACTTATTACATTTCATAAAAAACATGCTTAATTGTTTTAATTTAATTAAATCCCCCCCTCTCTCTCCCCCTCCATCCCCCCTCTTCTCCCCTCCATCACCCCTCTCTCCCCTCCAATCCCCCCTCTCCTCCCTCCATCCCCTCTCTCCCTCCATCCCCCCTCTCTCCCCCCTCCATCCCCCTCTCTCCCCCTCCATCCCCCCTCTCTCCCCTCATCCCCCTCCTCTCACCCCTATCCCCCTTCACCCCTCCATCCCCTCTCTCCCCCTCCATCCCCCTCTCTCCCTCCATTCCCCCCATCCCCCCCTCTCCCCCATCGCCCCCTCTCTCCCTCCATCCGCCTCTCTCCCCCTCATCCCCCTCTTCTCCCCCTCCAATCCCCCCTCTCTCTCCCCTCCATCCCCCCTCCTCCTCCTCCCCCTCCCACATCCTCATCCCCTCTCTCCCCCTCATCCCCCCTCTCTCTCCCCCTCCATCCCCCTCTCTCTCCCCCTCCATCCCCCCTTCTCTCTCCCCTCCATCCCCCTCTCTCTCTCCCTCCCATCCCCCCTCTCTCTCCCCTCCATCCCCCTCTCTCTCCCCCTCCATCCCTCTCTCTCCCCTCCATCCCCTCTCTCTCCCCCTCCATCCCCCTCTCTTCCCCTCCCATCCCCCCTCTCTCTCTCCATCCCCCCTCTCTCTCCCCCCTCTCTCTCCCCCTCCATCCCCCCTCTCTCCTCCTCCCTCCATCCCCCTCTCTCTCCCCTCCCATCCCCCTCTTCTCTCCCCCCCTCATCCCCCCTCTCTCTCCCCCTCCATCCCCCCTCTCTCTCTCCCTCCCCTCCATCCCCCTCTCTCTCTCCTCCCTCCATCCCCCTCTCTCTTCTCTCCCCCTCCATCCCCCCTCTCTCTCTCTCCCCCTCCAACCCCCTCTTCATCTCTCCCCCTCCATCCCCCCTCTCTCTCTCTCCCCCTCCATCCCCCCTCTCTCTCTGTCTCCCTGTCTTACTTTGCTTTGCACCATTTTATCAGTTAACCAATTAAATGAAATTCATGGTTCTGCATGCGAGTTTGTATTAGTGCTACATAAATGTAAACTCATATAATTAATTTGTAGTTGTTTTGTGCCAATGGTGCTTTTGTGGTCACGTGAATTATTTCTCTGGGTTAAATAAATTGTTTGGGTAATACAAGTAGTTGATGTGTTACAATTAAGTTTACTCAGAGATGGTATAATTTTAAATGTGCTTTTCCCTTATAGAGTTAAATTTCATTAATTTTTTTTATCTTCTCTTTTTAAAGGAAAAACTGTTTAATTATAGGCAACTTTATATTTTTAAAATCTGCCGAATATTCTTGTAAATTATATCATTAAATTAAGTTATACAAATACCTTAAATCTGGATAACTTCTATTTTTATGTTCACAGTGTTATTCATTTATTTCCTTGGAGCGGCATTATTGATGAAAATCAACAGCTCAGTGACACTTTTCGCGTACCTGACTTGAAGACTGGCAGAATGGTTCGTCTTATAACTCAACTTACTCCCAAGGAGGAAGAAATGTTCCGGAACATGATTCGTCGCTTGGATAGTTTGGCTCGAGTAAGTGGAGTGAATTTTGAAAGTGCAATTGCTAGATCATTGCAAAAGTGAGATTTCAACTTAAAGTACCTCATAATATGGAGGTATTTTTAATGGTGCGTTGTTAATTTTAAATACTTGCTTTGCACAAAAAGGCCTTGTTTCTGCTGTTTGTGAAGACCTATTCTATGTGGTTTTAAGGATTCTCTAAAATAGATTTTGTTACCTTTGTGATAAATGTTTATGAACTTTATCAAGCTTGGGTGTGAACAATTTCAAAGTATATGTTTTTAAATATAAAAATTGATTTCTTGGAAGAAAAAAAAAAAAATCAAACTGAATGAACAGTTGAGTTTTTAAAAAAGAGTTTAATTGAAATTCTTCTGTTTCATTCACAAAATGCTGAATGTTAAGTACTTCCTTAATTGTAGGCTAATGGGTGGTGATATAATCTCTCTTCAAACCTGATATTTATTTTATGAATGGGCTTAAGATTGATGCATTTAAGGGAATTAATATAAACTGCTTATGTAAACATTTTGACTCATTAAAGCAGTTGGGTGAACTTGGAAAATAATAGTCTATGTGTATTCTTCTAATTGTGCATAGCCTAAAATCCTTGTGTGTATGTGCCAACTTTCTTCAATAATGACACTAAAACCACTTGATAATTTTAATGTTTGGTAAGGAATAGTGATATAAAAAATCAAAATGTGGTAATTACTTTTAATCTATGTTTCTCTCAAACGTAGGTAATTTCTATTTCCTTTAGTGTATTCTATTGAGCTGTTATGTCTCTTGTATATCTTCCAGATAAATAAAGAGGTTTATTCTTTTGTAATATTGAAATAATGAATTTCTTTTTGTGGAAAAGAAAACAAAATTTTGGAAATTATTTAGTAATTGTGAGACCTATAGTATGCATTTTAATTAAACCGTCCATTTTTTGGTTGTTTTAGATGGCTCAAGATTTGGATGTACGCATAATGATTGATGCAGAGCAGACTTACTTCCAGCCAGCTATCTCTCGAATCACATTGGAATTTATGCGAAAATACAACAAAGAAAAGGTAATTATTCCTTTTTCTCTCTGCTTGATATTCATTCAGATTTAGTTTCAAATCAGCATATTTTCTCAGTTGCAAACACAACGAAAATCTTGATCATTTCATTACACAAGATTATACGTTACATTTGAAAAATCGTTCACATTTAGTTACAAATCAAAATATTAACTCAGTTAACATGTTGATGTTGCTCATTGCAATTTAAATTCTAGAACAAAGAATACTGGAATAATATATATTTTTGTTATAAATAGAACAGAAAGTCATAAGTATTAATGAGATTTTATGTTAAAGAATAAAATTATTAATAATATTAATTATAATTGTTTGATTCTGCACATTTCAAATGTGCCTTAATGTTATTAATGAAAAATAAATATAATTGTTTATAACTTGGTTTTACAAGCATCAGTCATCATTTTTCATATTTGTTAGATACATTTTTGCATGATTGTTTGGGTTTTAGATTAAAAATGCATCTGATTACTCTTTTCTGAAGTAGCATAACTCTGTCAATTTTCTTATTACATCCCCCATATTTCTATACGGTATTGTATATATGAATGACGATTCCATTATATATTGACATAAGCATATCCGTTGTCATGTATTTTTTAAGATTTCTTAAAATGAATGTGTTAGTACATAATTAATTACATACTACTGTAAGTTAAGTTCTTATCAATATACAGTTTGGTTGATATCCTTGCCATATTATTTTGACATTGATTTTGTTGCCTGTGTTTTCATGGTTACAATGTCAGAAATGTGTCTTTGAATTTTGTGTGCATTTAGGTGTAGGTTGTTATTTCTCAATTATTTATACAGCATTTTTCAGGTATTTATATTTCTGCTTACAGCATCATTCTATTTTTACTGTGGTTTAAATTTTATGACCAATTAGACCTTGAAAGGAAATATCCCTCCTATATGAAAGCGTAGGAAAATAAATCATGGTTCCCTATGGAAAGGTTTACTGGTTCTGGGAGCCTAGCCTGTTTTTTAATAATCCATGATGGTGACATGTTGGGGGATTGCTTTTCAACCTGCTTCCTTCTTCACAGCAATTCGTACAAACTTCCAACAAATCAATTAACTAATTAATTGTTTTCAGGCTGTTGTATTCAACACTTACCAATGTTACTTGAAAGACACATATAATGAATGTACAACTGATCTGGAACAAGCAAAGAGACAGAATTTTTATTTTGGTGCCAAACTGGTTCGTGGGGCGTACTTAGAACAGGTAACAGAATGTTATTGAAATGCTTGTAACTTTAAGGTATTTTTAATCATGATTCTGATACGCACTGATTACAGTGAAACCTGGAAACTTAATTTTTGTATATCTAAGACTTATGAAACTTTCAGTACATTAATAATCCTCATAATTAAGGCTTCGAAGATAATGCTGTATCAAAAGGAGAATTATGCGTGCGAATGTGCTGAAACATTTGTAAAATATGCACCAAAACAATGCTATGAAATATGCTCTTACAATTAAGTTTTATGTATTCATGAACAATTACTAACATTTCAATTTTAACAATTAAATTTTCATTTTTTGTCTCTACTTTGTATTCTAATGATAATTTTTGTTATGGAAATAATGATTTCATTTGTATCATCATTGAAGTACAAATTCAAATGCCACGAAGAGTTTATAGAAGATACACTATCACATAGTTTGTAATCGGAAAAACCGTTTTTGTTTACCAGCTCTATGGTAAAATCTAAAAGAATTTCAGACAAATATTGCTGCAACAAACGAAAGAAATTTCTCATGAATAGAATTTGCAAACAAATTTGTGAAGTACACTTTTTGATTTGATGGAACAAATATGCATATTAGTTGAAATTCCAACAGAAATATACCACATTAAGGAAAAAAAGCAATAAAATATGAATAATAACTTAAATATAATAGAAATAAGATACATGAACACAAAATACACTAAATATGTATTAATATGCTAAATAAAATCACAGAATTTCTGTTTATTGGATTGTGTTCTGAAGCATTTGATAATTAGTACATTCTACAGCTCATAATTAAAAATATAATTTTTCATAAACTTCTGGGTCTTACTGATAATATTAAAAGATATGCCATTTTTGGAGGTCACTCATGCAAAGGAAGTAAAACAAAATTTTGTATCATATCTCAAAAATCCTATCAATAATTTAGTTTAACATACAATAGCAGAAAAAGTCTTTATAATTTATAATGCAAACAAGAAAGAGACGAATTCATTAGAAGTGTTTTTAACTTTCTTGAAAGTTATATTTTATTATTGCATTAAGGTTGATCAACGACATGAAGTTAAAAATTGTTAATTAAAATTCCTCTTTAGGAACGTGCGCGAGCTGCAGCGTTGGGTTATTCCGATCCTACAAATCCGTCTTTTGAAGCTACTACAGAAATGTACCATCGCACCCTTACTGAATGTTTGCGCCGCATCAAGGATCTCAAAGATCATGGAGAAGAGAAAAAGATTGGAATAATGGTTGCCAGTCATAATGAAGATACTGTGAGATTTGCCATTGAAAAGTAAGTATTTGCATGATTTTTCAGCATGAGTTAAGAATAAATATGTTTACTACAATCCACTTGTGTTTCAGAATGAAAGAAATTGGAATATCTCCTGAAGATAAGGTAATTTGTTTCGGGCAGCTTTTGGGTATGTGTGACTACATCACCTTCCCATTAGGTAAAGTTATGTTTATCATTCTTAACATTAATTTCTGGATTACATATAATACTTTTGATTACAAAATTAGATAGACTTTTATAATAATTATTTTCCTTTTCCTATCCTTCAGGGCAGTCAGGTTATTCTGCTTACAAATACATCCCTTATGGTCCAATAAATGAAGTGCTCCCATATCTTTCTCGGCGTGCCCAAGAAAATCGGGGTATATTGCAGAAAATTAAAAAAGAAAAGAGCTTGCTTCTGCAAGAACTCAGGAGGCGATTTGTTAGAGGAAAGTTCTTCTACACACCCAAAGGCAATTATGTGCCAGTGTGAGACCTATCGTTGTTCTCTTGGTTGGCATATGACTGGAAGAAGGTTGATAGGCAAGCAGGGATAATGCAAAGAATTCTACTGGAGAAGAATGCTCAAGGCCCTGCTTGTCTGGAAGGATCACGAAGATGACAACTTTCAGTTGAAAACAGATTCTACGTAGTGATGTTTTACTTAATACCAGTATTTCCATCTCTAGGAAATCATGATATCATGACGCTGTATGAGTTTATTGCTAAAGACTTAAGAGTATTTTGTCTAGTCATCAATCAAAATTGTCTTCAGTGGTTTTTTCTTTGTTTTTATATTTATATACAAATAGTGATACTGTTGGAACCAGCCTTATTAAAATTATTACAATTTTTTATGCTTTGTAAATTGTTTCTTCATAATTTCAGTTAAAGTTATTTCTTGCATTTCTTATCTATCATGTGCTTCACGTAGTAAGCTGCCTTGATACTTAATTTTTATTAGAAAACTGTTAACAAGATAGTGTCACTATCATGATTTCAGTCATGTCATAAATCCTGTGAAATGTGATGTTGAGTGGACATCTCTATATGCCATAACTCTTATAAATATATAAATACAGCATGCATGTTTTTGAGTTGTATGTAGAAACCTTGATTGTATGAGAAATAAGCAGAAATTGAGAAGTTCCTGCATCAGCAGGTCAAAGTGATGTTTGAAAGACAATGAACAGTGTATGCGTGTGAAATGAATGTTACGTTCTCGTATATGTTGTATTTTGTGGTATTGTACGACAATGAAATTGTGTGATGAGATTTGTTTTTAGAATTCAGCATTTCAAACATTAGGCAAGCTACTATTTTTGAATTCCTATTATTTATGTGAACCGTTTTAAAATACCAAACTAAGTTTATTTATTAGTTAAAATTAATCAACTTAGCAATCTGTGAATTAAGTTCATTTTTGTTGTTGACACGTCTTGGTATGTTAATTTGAACTTCGTCCTTTTATAGTCACCAAAGGAACTGCAGTGTAGTAATTTTTTGATTTTAAGTACATTGTTCAGAAGACTAATAAATTCTGAAAGTACTTAGTTTCTATTTTCTGTATATATTTTATATAATATCTGCAAGTTATAATTGTGAAATTTTCCTGGAAAAATTGACACTCCTATTGTGTATTTCTTACAGTGACTGTGCACTGTCAAATGCCTACTGATACCTTGTAGACTGAAAATATTAGTTGCATGTCACTGTATTTCCTAATTTTTATTTTGTAAAGGTCTCTGCAGTTCAATGTTATTAAATATTTTATCAATTACAATGGATTCCTGAATATTCTTTGTTTCTTCTTGGGTAATATAAATCATTTATAATTATTACTATTGAATACAGTTTGTGCCTGAGCAAAATACACAAGAGGCAGAATATTGAATGTTGCATATTATACTAAATGGCAGAAAAGTATACAAAATAATAAAAATAACTTTGTGTAAAACTATTAGATAGCTGGAAAATATGAAAACAGCAACAGTTCTGTCAGCAACAGCATAGAACATTCACAGATCTGAAACAAAGTACTTAGGTATATGGGAAATGTACTTGTGTTTTACAGGGTAGAGGTCTACTACAGTAAGATAAAGAGGATAATTATGAATGTTGAAATAATATTTATGAAAGAATGAAAAGACTTGTGGGTGTTTAACGTAGTTTAAATTATTTTGAACCAATGTTAAATTTCATTAATGGATAAAGAGATGTTGCATTGCGGTGTGATTGTTGTGTGGTTAGAAATAGCTGTGCAAAACCTATTGATTTTGTAAAAATATTTGCAATTGGTTGTTATAGTCAGTCATCTTACTAGATGTGCAAAGGATTCATCAATGGATTCAGTTGATTTCAAAACTTTTTTTCAACTGCAACTTATTAAAATTGATAATTTGCTTTTGTGGAGAGGTTGTAAATTTATATGCAGATCATTTTCTTTAGCAGTTTCTTTTAACACTTTTTGTTTTATAAATTGTATAAAGGTAAAAAAGACAACCTCAAGGTCCTTAGACAATAAATATTTTAAAATGAGTATTCAAGGAAACACTTTTGTGAAATTATTCTTGAAGTTTATTTTTTCTCTTGTCTGTCTCCACCTTGCAAGTCCTTCCTTTTGAACATGCTGGGATGTTGAGTATATATATGCTCTTCTTTCTTAGGAAGTCAAAATAGTTTCAAATCTGACAGAAAAGATCCCACATATGTTGCAAAGGTTAATATTTCTTCATGTCCAGGTGTACGAGTAGTTTTGTTATTTCAACAACTTATGAACTCCCATGGCGATACTAAAATTTCATGTGTGTTTGCATCTACACAACAACAACAACAAAAAAAAAAAAAAAAATCTTTCTTTCTTCCTTCTTTCCATTGCTGAAGAACATCGATAATGATCAGAACATGCATTCACACACAAAAAAATCAAATATCCTAAAATCCCCTTGCATAAAAAAAACTAGGTTGTCTGAAGAACCCTACCTTTATAGCTAAAAGTAAAGCACATAACCAATTACTCAAAGGTTTAAATAAGAAATTAGAGATTTTTGTAAAAGGAAATTAAGATTTCTTTTCTCAGAGAAACGAAAATACTGTTTTGTACATGTTTATTGCACAATATTTGAATTTTACATTCAAATGAAACAATGACTTATTGTAATATTACTTGGTTTTTGGAATACTTAGAAGGGCAGAGAGAGAACTTACCTATGCCCTTCTGCAGATGGATCTCTAATACATATGGCATCATTGTTGGGGGGAGGGGGAATGCTGCTTTTCATTGAACATTTCAGTTGAAAGCATTTGAATCGCTCATTAGCATTCAACTTGTCCTGGGGGTTCTTTTCTGGTGGGGGCTAGAACTTCCCAGAGCACCTCTGCTTGTTAACAAGCATACAGGAACTTAAATATCCCATTATTATTTGATGTAAGAATACTGCTTGCTTGCATGCATGCAAATTTTACTATGAACAAGATTTTTCGCTCTTTAAGATCATGGGTACACGGACAAAAACCTACTATTTACAATACATATTATTTTATACACATTGTGAGTTGACAACAATGTCTTTTTATATTCCTTGGCTTGTGCATTGTTGATTTATACATAAAGATTTCACATTTATGCACAAAAGGCCGCGTAGAATTATTAAACAGTGAGACATGTTTGAAAAGTCTGTTAGCTGTGTAATACCACTTGTTCTATCATCATCATCATCATAGATTGCTTAAATTTATAATGCCATTTCTTTCAAAACTTCCTCACAACGATGACATAATTTATCTTCGAATTGGGATGTATACCGACGACATCGTACACACAATTTCCCACTAGTTGGCTCTATTTTTATTTGTAATGCACTTGTACCTTCCATCACTTCTGAATGAGATACTTGCAAAAGTTCATTTAACTCGTTGTGGTCTGCCAGTTCCTAAAACAAGTATGGCATTTTAGAGAAGTGCTCCCAATTAATACACATTCTTAACATTCTGAAACATATACCTTCAAATTCAAAAACTCGTTTCCAGATCCTGTCACTATTGCATAAAGTTGCAATGTATTACAAGACGACATCTTGTCAATTACTGCTTTAGCCTTTAATGCAGTTTCAACTCTAGACACAGCATCAGGGAAATGCCAATGCTCAGGTATCTTCGGATGTGATTTTGAGTAAAAAAATTGTTCTACAGCTGGGAGTAAATGAAATAAAAATTCAATTATAATGAAATATCTGATAAAATTAACTACACCTATACTCAGATTTGAGATTTATTTAAAACAGTAAATACTGCACATTTATTTCAATTGACATCATCGCATCATTAATATATTTATTTATAAAATAGCGATATCAAACCTTTACAAGGATAATGCAAGTACACTTCCTCAATCAAATATGGCAGAACAGGCGCTACACCACGGGAAACTGTTTCGAGTATATTCTTAATAACAAATTGACAAGACTGTCTGTAAATGTCATCTTTCTTCCTACAATACAATCTGTAATTAAAATGTATTATCATCTTAATTCAAATTAAGACCATTCTCTACACTGATCATTATCATTTACATTAAATAATTCATTTTGAGTTTTTATTCAGATATTTCTATTGAGGATGAGACATTCTTTAAAGATTTTACTCGTAGAGTAGAAAAAAATGTTAAAAAAATAACGATTATTTGATTGTTTTTCTAATTTACCCATGGGTATTGTAATATCCAAAAACGTTGATTAATTGATTTTATTTACTTTTGGAAAGTATCGGTCTCCATAGAAACTACTACTAACCTGTCTTTGGTCATGTGACAATATATTGCAGAGACTTCATTGGTTATGAAGTTTGTAATAATTTTGCAAACTCGTTTATATTGGTACAAGTTGTATGATTCAAATATCTGTCAGAAAAACAAATGTTAAGCATGAACTTGATGAATATTATCCCAAAATTTTTGAACATAAAAAGTACCTCTGTTTCAAACTTTCTCAACTTATCTAACATCCACAAGTCAAGTGAGAAAAAGTTTCTGAAGGAATGTGAATCATTTGAGGAAGAATAATCTGAAAGAGCTCCAAGAAGAAATCTTAATACAATTCGAATTTTGTGAACTTCAGCAGAGCTTGCTTCCATAATGCTTTGACTTACAGGTACATTGTCAACTTGAGAAGCATGGCTTGCTACCCACCACCTATTAAAAGATTGGAATAAAATATTTCATGTTATTCACTTCGTTAATCTGTTTTCAGTGTGTTATTTATAATGTATTGAAATATATTAAAATACAATTCTACCTGAGAGTATCTGTTCCAAATGCAGATTTTTTCTTAACATCTTTACCTCCTTTGCCTTTTCTAATCTCTTCCGGATCTATTACATTTCCAATTGATTTAGACATTTTGTGCCCCTTTTCATCCACAGCAAAACCATGAACAAATAATGATCTGCCAATGCAAAGAGAATCCATCAGTATTTTCAGGCATGCAAGAACTTACCTCAAATTGCAGAGTCAATTTACTTGTAAGGAGTCTTTCCACGCAGACCAACACTAATCATGAGAGAAGACTGAAACCACCCAGTGTACTGATCCACTCCTTCAAGATACATATCAGCCACTTTTTCATTTCCCAAAACATAAGACCAAGAAAGGCCACTGTCAAACCATATATCTAGAATGTCCTGGGTAGAATAAACAATTTATGTGCTTAAATATTTAAATTGAATGATTTTAACTAACTATACAAATGAGAATTTTGTGAACTAAGACTGTTAAATATTAAACAGGATAATTACCTTCCCCTTTTCAACATCAGATGAAGAAATGCCATGATCTTCAAGAAGATAGTCAGGAGCGATTTTTTCTTTTGGCAAAACCCACCAGAAGTCAGCCCCATTTTCTTCAAGTAATTTATTGTAATGATCTATCAATGCTCTGCAAATTAACATCAATAATTAAATTTACTACACTAGATTTACAATAACAGAACAAAATACTTAATTTTAAGTACCATAGCAAACTTTATTTCATTTATGCATTTCACATATGAATAAGTTGAATGTAATTATGCAACTGCCTCCAACCAATTTCAAATAACTAACAAATTCTGAGTAGATAATACAATAAACTCGTTAAAAGAATATTTAGTACAAAATTTTGATGGCACATTCTCAGGTTGCACAATTATTTCTGACCGAATATCAGCAAAACAATCCCTCGTAATATTGGATTATCTAATTTAGGTATATTCACACTTTATTCTTGGTGAAACAAACTCTAACTCCTTCAATCAAATAAAGGCATCTAACCTCGATACTACAGGTGTTCCATCCATTTTCTTGTAAAGTACTGGGATTGGTGCTCCCCAAATTCGCTGCCGTGAGATACACCAATAAGGCCGTTTCTCAATCTGGGAAATCAGAGCACTATGACTCTGAGGTTGCGATGGGTACACAGTGATGTCCTTAAGCAATTCCTTATAAAAGGTAAAAAAAATAATTAAAATAATATTATTTCATAAAAATTATATTGTGTTCTGTTTGAAAAATCTAACTACAATGAAATCAATTAATGTATTACACTTTAATGATGCAAGATAATGTTCATTAAGGAATCATATCACATTTTCATGGTCAAGTGACAGAAAACATTTCTAAAACCAAACAGAAAAGCACACTCACAAGAGCTTTTGCCTTCAGGGCATCAGTGTCTATGAACCACTGATAGCTTGCTTTTACAATAACCGGTTGTTTGGTTCTCCAGTCACAAGGGTAACTGTGAACATAATTTTCTACATGTATAATATGGGATTTTAATTTTTCGAGAACTTTTGTATTTCCTTCCTTTAGAACAGAAAGACCTTCAAGGTCTGTCCCTGCTTCCACAGTGTAACATCCATTTTCATCCACCAAGTTCACCTGCAAAGAACTTGTTATAATCATCAAAATGTTAAGGCCCTCCAGAATCAACATAACATAATCTTATTAGAACTATACTCTAATGTTACCAAATATTCATCATATTTTATTTTTAAAACTGCTGATATTTTTTGTTGGCAGAACATAGTAACTCTATATTACCATTACAATAAATGTGAGATCATTTAATATAATATTTAAATACCTAAAAACATATTTTCATAAACAAATTTGAAATAGCTTTTGCTCACCAAAGGTATTTGATGTTGTAATGCTATCACAAAATCATCAGGACCATGTGCAGGTGCAGTATGGACTAATCCTGTACCAATTTCAGAAGTTACATGTGATCCAGGAAGGAAAGGCAATTGTTTATTTACATTTACAGGATGGCAGTACTGAACATTCTTCAGCAATTCTCCTATAAATGTTAAAAAATATGATTGAAATAAATAAAAATACTATTTGATTGAATTATTATTATCTTTGTATACAAAACAAACAATATTTTTTGAAACAACAAAGGAAATGTCAAAAATGTGATTGATGTTAATTTTTACTTGAAAAGGTATTAGTTAATTATAAAACTCTGCTCTCTAAAATTTTAAAAGGACTTGTTCTTTTAAGGTAAGACAGCAAAGGAAAATTTATCAAATTACTTAATACGAGGTATAGATTAACTTTTAAGTCTGTAAATAATTACTTCTAAACAAGTAATTACTTAATATCGAATGAATAATCATTATTTTGAATGAAGTATAACTTAAAAATTTTTTTAGTGTCTAAAACGGCAACAACTATAGTTTTCTTATTGCACTTGAATTCAGAAAGATTTTATTTATTTTCATTTTACCAGACAATTTGTTGTTAACTGTAGATAAAAGAAATATGTTTAACTGTTTAATTAATTGAAAGCCACTGTCTCGAGACATTAAGGGACCATCCATAAATTACAAAATACACATTTGGAATATTTTGAATGCACCATATTTCCCACCGTAATTCACCTGTTAATGTTGCTTGAACCCCCCCCCCCGACTAATTACGTAACACTTATGACAAGGACCTCCCTCCCCCATTTACAAAAAATAAGAAGAAATTATACAGCAGAACAATGAGATGTATTAGTTGTATTTTTGTTATATATTAAAATTTATGATAATTTAAGTCAGAATTAGTTGGCAATGTGGACTACAGTAACAGTCAGATTGGTAACAATTTTTGAATGAATGAAGGACATGTAGGCGAGAAAATTTCTGACAAGCCAAGCACAGGCCGTTGTGGATCATGCATGGGCCCCAAGTCTAACTGCGCCAATTTAATTGGATTCTAGAAAGTACTTTAGATCAGTTTTGAATATTTTCTTCATAATCTAATAGATTCAATCAATTTCATTACAAAAAACTTCCATTTATTGTAACAATTTATACATCTTAACATAAGATCCTCCGAAGCCATGTTGTAGTGTACACTTGTTATAACAAGTGATCACACTTATGAGACATTGAACAAAATTAAAATTTTTGACATACCAATACAATTAAATTTTGATAAACTCTCTCCACCAAAGAAAAAGAAAATTAATATAATTTTTATTTATCTGTAAAATGAAACAATTGGTGACATTTGTCATACAAGGTACAATTTGAAATTACAAAAGAACTAAAGTTAACTTTTTAAGATTAATCAAAAATTTGAGACATTTTCACACCTGAGAATGTTTTCAAAATCTGCAATTGTTTCCCCAATTTCATTTCAACTGCAGCTACACATTCCTCAGCTAATAAGTATATTTGATCATCAAAACCTTCAATTTTCCCCAAACAATACGAGATACTGGGATTGAAGCAAACAGCCTGATTGGCAGGTAAGGTCCATGGTGTAGTAGTCCACACTAGAGCTTTAATGTTGTCCGATGCTGCTTCTGTAGGCACTTGTAAATTTGGTGACTGTACTACATGTAGACCCAATATTACAGATTTGCTCACATGCTGGGGATTATATTCAAGTTCTGCTTCTGCTAATGCAGTTCTAAAAAAGATAAATCAAACATTAATAAGTACCAGACAGACTACATTTTACAATTTAATATTTAAAAATTACTACCTTGAAGATGGTGACCAAAATATTGGTTTCAAATCTCTGTATATTAAGCCCTGTAATTCAATCAAAAATATATTGAAAATTACGCACCAGAAAGCAACTATGACAAATAAGTAATCCTTGGTATCTGTACACAGATGTTAACATAAATGAACCTCTGTACAATTACATCTCTGTAATTATCTCAAAATTACACTTAAAAAAGGAAAAATAATAAATTATAATAGGTGAGCATTTTTGCCACCAACTGTAAAAACCTCTCCCACCCATGAAAGAGACCCCCCCAATAGCAAAACGTACTATAAAATCATAATTTACAACTATTTAGAAACATTTGCAAAATGTCACTGGGGTTTAAAAATGGAATCAGCTTTAAAATGCTGATCCCCTCAATAGAAAGTAATGTGCACCTAGCCCAATATTTAAGACTAAGCCCCAGTGAGATGCTCAGGGCCTCATGAAGGTCAATTTGCAGGGAAAAAAGTTACGTCTAAAAAAAGATATTCAAAAAATGAAATTTTAATTTACAAAAATGCCTTCTAACATCCTTACCTTGTTGTATAATATAAGGAACTGGTTAAGTTGGTTTTTTATGTAGTCTATATTCAATGTGAAGTAACATTCATTCCAGTTTGCCATGACACCCCATGCTTTAAATGCTTCCAATTGATCATTTATAGCTTTTTTGACAATTTCTCTAGCTATAAAAATAGAATATTAAATAAGTAATTACAATATTTCAAAATGCAACTATTAGAAATTAGTCCATCAGTCACTGACCTTTAGATCGTATTTCAAGAGGATCTGATTTGATGATTTCATTTTCTTCTGTTATAGCTTTTAATTCAATTGGCAAACCATGACAATCCCACCCAGGCACATAATGAATCCTAAATCCTTGTAAAAGTTTCTGTCGAATAGTTATGTCTTTCAATATCTGAGAAAAAAATCAAGTATTAAGACAATTACAAATATTATCAAGGTTTCTAAAGGATAATATCCGAATGGTCAAATAACATGTCATGAAAATAACATTTTAGCTAATGAGGGATAAATAGACAGGAAGCAGAAATCATTAACTTATGAAACTTAACCTAACAATCTATACCTTATTGATTGCATGTCCCATATGAAGTTTTCCATTGGCATATGGGGGTCCATCATGTAAAACAAATTCTGGGCCTCTCAAGTGTTCCCTCTGCCACTGATAGAGCTCGGCAAACTTGCATGTCTGAACAAAGAAAATTCTTAAAACATTCTTGCTAATTCACCTTGAATTCAAGAAGAAACTACTCACTTCATAAATATAATTGTCACTTTCTACTCTCTTAGCTGCATTCACTCTAGGAGGAAATGAGGTTTTCGGTAACAATACTGTGTGTGTAAATTTTTGTTTTGGTGAGAGATTCTTTTGAGGTATCTCCACTACACCACATTGGCAACGACTTGTAACCTTTCTAAAATAAGATGTGCTAAAGAGAGGCTTCCGCATCTGTCCAATATTTTTCAACATCACGTAGAGCAATAATACAAATCTGACAAATATGTTAAATGAAATGTTACTCGTTCATCGACACACCTCAATCACAGGAATGTTCTTAAGTTCTGATACGCCATAACTATTTGACACTTTTGAAATAGCCGCTCACCTGGTGGATTAAAATTGAAGCAATGGCATTGGTACCAACAGTACAAATTTCAAATTCACTCTATACTTATCATTGAAAAAAAAAACAACAACCAGGGTATCGCATTACAGTAAAAATGTCTTGTTTGAAATTTCATTTAAAAATTTAAAATTCGAAAAGCATTGTTTAAAGGTTCTTAATCGAGCTCTGAAAGAGTGCAACCATTTTTAGTACTGTTATTAATATAAATTTTGAGTAGGTCTCTGTTATTTGTTGTGTATTTTTAATACTTTGAAGACTCTAAGGATTTAAAAAATTATTGTCCACACTATGGAAAGGGATGAAATGACCTATGATGTCCATGAATGACTATGAATCCATCCCATCCCATGCTCTCCATTCGCAGAGTCTATTCGACCAACGCTTGTGCAATTTCCCAGCATTCCGTGTTTGGGGAAGCGCGCCGGCCGCCATTTGTACGTCGCGCCCGGGGTTTGCCGGTGGATTGTTTCTTGTGGTTGATGTGTGGTGTTCTTGGAGTGTGTTAAGTAATATTTGTTGGAGAGGAGCTGCATTTTTCCAAAATGGTTGACAAAATTGATATGAGTTTAGATGATATTATCAAGTCTAACAAGGCCGCCCGTGGTAGTGGTGGTGGTCGACGCGGAAGAGGAGCACAGAGGGGTTCAACAGTATCACGTCGAGGAGGAGGAGGACGAGGTTCTTCTAGAGGTAGCGTTGGTCCTGTGAGAAGTCGAAGTCGGGGTTCTGGGATTCGTAATACTCCTTATTCAAGGGTACGTTGTTGGGAATTATAAAATGTTCGGGGTTCGTGTAGTATTCATGGTAATATCGACTTTTAAAATAATGCATTGTTCATTGTAGGGTGACATTAACAGCAAGTGGCAACATGATATGTTTGATGGAGCTGGAACCAAGAAGATTGGAAGACTTGGATTTGGAATTGGCGGATCAATTGCCACTGGTGGCCCTGGGAAGCTGCTAGTCTCCAACTTGGATTTTGGAGTTTCAGATTCTGATATTCAGGTAAACATTTGTTGTGAAACATTGATAAGATAAGTATGGTTTAATGATCCCTTCATTTATTAATGTTTTGTTATAATGGGAATTGCATGATTAATTTGATCGTATGTAATGTCCTAATTTTGAAAATGGTTGTAAAATCCATACTTATTAATTTGAAACATTACTTTAAATTTAAAGTTTTCCTGCACTAAATTTCACTTCATTACTAGATCATTTGTGTGAAGAAAATACTAAATTGTTGGGCTTTTCTTTATTATATAACCATACCAGCTGATAGGAAAAATGTATGTTTGTGAACATAATTGGTTTGTTTTGGAACTATGAGAAATTTTGAGAAGCTGAGAAAAATGGACAAATTTGTATTGAAATGATGTCCATTTGTTTTTAAACAATTATTCAACATCCAAATGTGTGATATTTATTATTGTAAGGGAAAAACACTATAAATATTGTTGAGAAATGTTGGTTATACACTTTTTTCTTTTAAGTATTTATACATAATTACATTGTATGATATATGCAATGTACGATTATAACACTTGTAGGAGTCTTGTGTCTAAAGTAATAATGCAATAAGTGTTAGTATGTTCTTGTACTAAAATATAATATTTCTCTCTGAAAGCTTGCTGGGTATGATAGCTTCAGTGCACTCTGGATAAATTGTTTTCAATTAATTGATTTCCCAACAAATATGCTGTCTCTGTTGAAGTAATGTTTAGGATGTGTGCTCCATTAAGTCTCCAAAAAAAGATACTTCAATGGATTATCATCCGGCAAAATCTTGTCAGTACTAAGTATAGTAAACTCGTTTGTTAAGGGGGTCTGACTAACTTGAGATTCGATAGAATACTCATATTACTCTCTAAATTAAATGGTAATTGTGATGCATGATTCACGATTCATTTGAAACACTTGATTGCTCTTACTTTGCAAGTCATGTGGAATTCTTTATAACAGAAAGTGTTAAAAATGTCTATACTCTAAAAATTGTAAAGCTAAAAAGAGTAGAATTTACAAAGAGACATGCCAAAGGTTGGATTTGGACATACAACCATATGAAGTGAAACATTGTAGGGCTTGGCTGCCTAACCAACTTATTGAATGTGTTATAATTGTTCCTCTTATTAATAGAAGAGCTTGTTCAAGGTATTATGCATTTCCAGGTGTGTCAATTGATTTTCAGGTGGATAATGTAAGTTACAGATTTAGGAAAAAACAGGTTCATGAAGTTTCAGAAAAATAATTCTTATGGCATTGGGAAAGAAAATGTAAATTCAAAAACTTCATAAAATCATAAATATATTTTCACACAAGTTTCAGGGCTACTTAATTTTCTGTTTCAACATTAGCATTTATTTATATTATATTACACATTATGAAATTTGTAATTTATATAATGCACCTTGCTACATATTATGTAGAACTGAGGCCTTGGCACCAGCAAGATTGTGTGTTTCATTATACATTTTTTCCCCTTCATGTTTATATTTCAAAGTTCTGTTTTCAACACTGTTTCATTAACAGCGTTTGAATTTTGCATGAAAACAAACAAATGTTTTGGGCAATAATGTTGAATGTACTTTATGACGGTTTTTTCTGTTTTAAGCATTTGTTACTCATTTGCCATGGAGTGTAATTTATTTCATTTCTTTGTAATCTGATACATTGGGTTTTCAATCTTGGTAATTGTTAGTGGGAATGAAGAGTAACAATGATAAATTGTAAATGATGTAATTTCTTTGCTCTTCTTGAAATAATTTAATGCCACAACTCAATTAAAAATAAAGTTTGTTAAAAACTTATTTCTTAAGTATATCATTAAACCACTAATAGGTCTATAATATTAATTACATAGTTTAGTTTTCAGTTTATTTTGATTTTTTTGTTCGTTGTATTAAGGTGTATGCCAAGTGATTTTCAAGGCCGCTTAATTTTGAAAATGGTTAACACATTATGTGACTCGTTAAAGTAAGAGGACAAATTCTCTTCGATTGTATTTCCTTGTTTCTGGGGTTGCATTTAGTATCCTGAAAAAGTACTCAGTTTTCTATGCTTCTATCTAGCATGGGTAAGAATTCGAAAGCACTAATTTATCAATGAAGTTCATTCCACGAGTGTGTGGCAACTGATCAAATTAGTCTTTTTCTTATTTCGGTGCAAAAGACATGATGTGAGCTGTGGGTTTTGATTCAAACAAAATGGGATTTTTAAAAAAAATTGAAGGATGTGGCAGCATAGTGGTTAGGGCCCATTTCATTAGGCAGAGGGACCCAGGTTTAAACTCCAATATAGCTGGATATATTTATCTGGCAATGTCCTTTTAAAGAAATCCTGAGGTTCACTCACCCTCCATTCCAAATGAGTATGGATTTTTTTTTTCACTTAATTAACAGTAAATACTGAGGCAAATCTGCAGATGTAGCCTGCCACCATCTCCTCACGTCTAAAAAATCAATAAGATCTTCTAGGATTCGTTTCAGAAACTAGTACACTGAAGGCCCTGGATAACAAATGTGTGGGGAAACAAAATGTCAGAAAAAAGGTGTTTTATAGGTGTTCCAACCTCAAGAGACTCCCAGAAGGTTCTCCTGCAATCCTTAGTTCAAAGGGATAAACAAATAATTAAAATTTCAATAATCTACATTTCAGACATCAAACACCCAAGGTTTCTAAAAATATAAATTACAGTACTGCAAGTGCATCATATTTCTAAAATCCTTTCAAATTTTTTCCACCGAAGTATTTCATTCTCCAGAAACCATTCATCAATCTGCAAGTTTTATCAAGGTTCTTCACATTGTCTGCTTCAGCTTTGCTTGTAAACAAAACTATCTTTAATTGAAGAAAAAGAAATTCTTTTTTTAGAAGTAATTTAATTAAGTCTGATAGTGATCCACTCTTTCGCTGGTTTAAAATCATAATACACTATCTTACAGCCCACACCATGGCAAACCACATTCATAATTTCTATTTGTTTTAATTACATTCTTTTTTCAGTCATTATTTAAAGCTCTGAGACATATTTGTCATATTTTGAACGAAATGATTATTGGCAACACTGAATAAAGTTTTGGTTTTATTGCTTGCAATTCTGTATCACATATCCAAGACAAAGGAAATATGCAAAAGAGTATGTGTACAAGACAAAAGTCTCATTGCAACCACCACTTTGATGTGGTATTCAGCACATAACTCAGTAATTGTGATTTATGTTTGGTGGTGTGTACTGAGGAAAATGTGTTGGTAAGGAGTGACATGCTGCCGTGTTACTTATATTGTTCACTGCAGTCATAGGATTTGCATAAATGGATGAAAATTATTATAAGCGAAAGGCAGTATTTTGTAAATAAAGCTGAACTGTTTGCATACTAGTTTGTGGTGAAAATGATGCGAGTGAACTATTGTCAACACAACTAGTGGAAATCAAACTCCCTGTGCCTTCGGTGTTGGAGATGAACTTCAACTACAGAAGAGTGTGAAGACGAATCAATTAGTTGAATGATCGCATTTATAAAACCAATGAAGAACCATTTTTGTGTTTACCATAACAGTTCAGTGAACCAAGCTGCTGATGGAGCTAAGAAGTAGGTGGAGAATGTCTGCTCCTTAGACAAAGAATCAATGGAAAAATACTTCAATTTTCTCAATAGTATTGAAATTAGACCTCTGCTGATTGACAATAAATGGCATTCTCCGGCAAGACATATTTTCTGTTTCAAGAAGGCAAGCCCGACAAGAAATCGTTGTAAAACAAGCTATGCCATCAATTGGAAGAACACAAGACAATGTTATAGTTTGAAGATTGCATTCTATATCACCTTTCACCATGGTGAAGTCGCTCTTGATCAATTTAGCTATGAGTCTGTCCTTGTTCACCCATGCATGATCTCCTTTCCCAGGGAGGATGGAATTATTCAGGAAGAAAATGTTCCTGGCCATTTGGCTGCAAATCTAATGAGAACCTGATCAAGACTTCAAAGAGCTTCCTTGGTCCTAATTTCATCTGATGTGACCTTTATAGGATCACCTTGCTGTTTGCTGGGGAAAACACTGAAGGCAGCATCGCTCCAGATACCTATTGTGTATTATCCAGTTACTTCCAGCTTGTGTAACTACTGACTGGGCTGCAAATGGCAGAATTGTTGTTGTTGTGAATACTAACACACAATCATAAAATTACGTGATCTTGTGTACGTCAAATTTTTCTAGTTTCCGACACCCTTCAACTTTTACTTCATGTTTAAACTCCATTATGCCCCATCAATTAACAGTTGTTTGCAAATGGTAGATATTTTACACTGTCACTGTCTGAACCAATGCGTTTCCATTACACAAAAGAAGAGCTGTAGAAAAGTTACAGCAGAAAAGTTCTTTGGCACTGTAAGGAAAATTTAAAATCTTAAAAATATTGCTTCTTGTCATTCAATACTTACTAAGACAAATGATTTGAGAGAATTACAAATTCTGAAAAAATGGAATAACTATTCACTGTGAACACAAAAGTTTAACAATTGTGTTAAAAATCTACACAATAAACACACACAATACAAACAGAACACGAGTGTCTAAATTGTACTTGAAATATTTGATGTTCACTAAGATCTTGTTTATTTATGTACATGGATGTCGGACGTATAGCAGCATCCTGCCATCCACATAAATTTAAACACTTGTATGTGTATGCATGTATTTATATACACATTCACAAGTGTTTGAAAAGGGACAACAGACATTGCTTGACAAAGCGTTTTTATACACTTCTGACAACTGCATGTAAAAACTCAGATTGTCACATCACTAAGTAATCTCTCATTTGCTCACTTACTCTTGCCAAACATTGACATGACAATTTTGATGTATCAATTGTAACCTGTGTCCCTAATGAAGGAAAACCAGGGCAGGTTAACATTCACTCCATAATTTAAGATGATATTAATATTTAGTATTAGTGATAAAAAAAAGTTTTTAAGAGCAAGTAAAGGGCATTTGAGGTCCACTATCTTTGATTTAATAAGAAATCACATCAATTTGGTTGAATGGAAAGCTGAAACTTCTTTATGAAGAGAAATCTTTAGTGTTTTAAATACTGTGATGTGTTAGAAAGAATGCTTTCGTACCTCTTCATGCATTCATGGAGCTAGAAGTACAGTAATGTTTGGAGCTTTTAGAACTTCTCAATGAATTTGAAAGTAATGATATTTGGACATCAAGTAATCTTTATTTAACATTTGAATATTCAAAATAAACCCATAATTTGAAGAGTGAATACTTGAATAGAATTGCACGAATTTAATTTTTAATTGATTCTGTCCATCATGAATATTCATCATGGTATTTGGATATTGTGATGTGTATATGATCTCATGAAAGATGTTACTATTGGTTGAAATATTTTTTTACTACTACAGTAACACATTGCAATCAAGGGACAGAAATAATCAGAAAATATATGAGAGAGAGAGAAATATCCTGTATAATTTGTTCTTGTTAAGCAAGTCCATGCTAATAAGGTTTACTTTAAATAAAAAAGAAACAACATAAAACCATATGTTCACGAGCTTTTTTCTCTCTTTTTAATATGTCTTGTTTCATTTTTGTAGGAGCTGTTTGCTGAATTCGGGCCACTCAAGTCTGCAGCAGTCCATTATGATCGATCAGGACGTTCTCTTGGTTCTGCTGATGTTATTTTTGAGAGAAAAGCTGATGCAATTAAGGCCATGAAACAATATAATGGAGTGCCATTAGATGGTAAGACAAAAAAAGTAATAAATTTGGTAAACAAGTGCTTTGTTTGATCTTTAGATAAAAATTAGTTTGTCTTATGAAATTGTTGGTGGTCAATATACATTATTAGAAACTTTATTATAATTATATTATTATTTTTTCTGACTGAAGTGACAGACATTACTCCGGTATTTTCTTTGCCAGTTCTGTAAATATCATTTAAGAAAATTGATACTGTGTATTAAAATGTGATGAAATATGTAAAACACTAAACATTTTTGAGAAAATCTGTTATTTTACTTTAAGACTGTTGTTTTTGTCAAGTTTAGAATGAACAGTTTTTTAATGAGCAACAAAGAGAATGTCATCATTGTGTCTGCTACCTCTTTCAATGAAGGTTCTGAAAAATTGAGTGAAATTCTTGATTGAATCTCTATCATGCTTTATGATCAGGTGGTGGTTGATCATCAATATCACGATAAACTTGATCCTTGAAATGACAATCTTCTAATAGGTTATTACAGGGATGTCATTGTCACAAACCAATAAATCTTGAAAAGTTGTTTCTTCAATCGTAAAATGGGACAAAATTAGAGTCCACTCAATCTCTTAGGGTTTGTTTACAACAGGCTCTGATACAACTTGTAGATTTTGGTCTCCATAGAATCTACAACTTTTAAAACTTCTGTTGTTTCTTACTACACATTTCTCCAGACTTTATCATCCATTGTCATCTATAGCATGGATATGGTGGTGGTATACTCTTTCTAGGTTCTAGGTCATGATATTTTCTTCAATATCTGCTCTGTACAAGAGTTCAAAATTTTATTTTGTGTCTTAATCTAACAGCAATAATTTGGATGTGGTGTTGGAAGGCAAGAACTGCACTTTCACTTACTTGAGCTGTGGAATATTGTGGAGAGTACCATGCTTGCTGAAGAGTAGAGTTGTAGGTCATCTTCTCTTGTAATTTCAATGTCAGTGCTGTTTACTCATTCTGAAAACAGTTTGCATGACATCACAGCTTTTCTCTTGGCCTGGTGAGAAAGGAACAACAGCCAGCAAAACAAACAACACTTTTTATTTCTAAAAGGGCATGTTGTATCTTGTAGACTCTTGAAATAGGGTTGTCTCATCAGCACTGAATATTTTCTTACGTTTATAACTGCGCAACAAATCATGCAACTGAAGTTTCCATTCCTTGCATCCATTACAGTCAACAGCAGTGGCGTAATGAGACTCGTTTTTTTGGAATGCTTAACAATAACACAAACTGAAGACATCATGATCTTTAATTTTCTTTAGAATCTATGTTATTGAAACACATGTTACAATACTTAAACAGATTTGTCAGGAGACTTCTCAAAAGCAAATTATGCAGTGGCTCAGCTTTAATTGTTATGTTCGATTGGAAATGAGATCTCTTGTGAATTTAGACATTTCACACCAAAATAATATTTACTGCGTATCTGAGCTATGAGTGAAGAGGGGAGGAGAAACCTTGCCATCGGTGCATGCATAATTGCCCAAGACAATCTCATGGCAGATGCTAGAAGCCTTATAGTGACCAAGCAATCAGAGATCAGCTTATAACACTGCACAGAATTCAATTGTTGGGAATCACTTTAAAATTAATGCGTAATGTGTCTGGCTCCATTGCCAGATCATCAATTTTGTTGGTTCTTTGGTTAATATTTTACGTGGGGATGATGAGCATCACAGCTGCCCCCGATGCTACGCCAATGGTCTATAGCTGCACTTTTGTCCTGCTTTTCTAGAAGTCATGTTATGTCTCATTTTAAATTTATCAATGTCAGCCATTACTTACTTTAAATCCTTCATTAAATCATATTAAATTGGTGGTTGTAGATGCTTATGAGATATCTGGTTTGTTTTGTGTTTTAGGTGGTTTCATTTTAGTTTTAAGTTTTTCATTTATTTGACTTAGTTCATTCAGTAGATGATAATTAACCCCAGTTTTGAAATTAAAGATATTTTATCACAATGTTTTCATGCAACTGTCTTATCCTAGGATGGAAAAGACTTCATTGTATTGTTTAAAATTTATCATTATGAACTCGTATAATACAAAAAAAAAACTTTCACTTGCAAATGCCTCTCTGTGGTGTAACTCTAAGCTAGTTGTTGTTATTATTATTTTATTATTGTTTTCATTCTCACAAATGCAGGTCGAGCAATGAATATTCAGATGGCAACATCCGAGATACCAGCTGTTGGTAGAGGTGGGAGAGTCGGTGGCTCTGGTGGGTTTGTGCAGGGACGATCCCAAAACCGCATTGGAGGAAGAGGAGGTGGAGGTGGAGGAAGAGGTGAGTTCAGTTGGTTCAAATAAGCATTTTTATTGCTTTGTGATGTTCACTGTGCTTCTGTTTATCCATTTGGAATTTTTAATAAGACTTTCTATTTTGAAATTCCTAAATCGCAAATTGTCATTTTGAATAGGTTTTGTTATGAATATTTTCTTGGTGCAATTTTTCATTTGCAACTTACAACTTACAAAAATTAATTTTTCTGAGAATTGACTGATAGCCTCCATTATGATGTTTGTTCTGAACCCATTAACACCTGTAGAAAATAAAGTGTTTCCTGTATTTTTTCTATCAACAAAAACACAATGCAGGAAAATAAGGTAACACAAACATTTTTAAATTACAAAAAATGGGGTATATCCAAAAAAAGTTCAATGGCAGCTCAATTACGAAAAGCTCCAAAGCATAGTCATTTAATTAAGTGTGTTTTCTGGCATTGCTTAAAAGGCCAGTGCAGTCTTATTATGCCCATTATTTTGATGTGTTGAACCTGCCACTATTAATTATGATGATGATGAGGTGATACTTGTTTTTACTTTCATAGCAATAGTCAAATAAAGAAGCATGTAAAAATAACCCTCAAAGATTTTTCATCTTTCATTTATAACCAGTCTATGCTTATTGACTGATCAATGTGGTCTACTCCACTCACTTTTTAACATAACTTCAATTTCTTTATGTTGGTCTCCCGGTAAGTGCAATGACCACAAAATGCAGATTCTATTTTAAGACACTAGTGGTGCTTCCAAAGCACGTACTTTGTCGTATTGATTCTAAGTGCCTTGCAACATTATACTACTACATAAACAGCAAAAATGTTTTCAAGCAGCAAGTTATTTTTCCACTCTGGGAGACTCTAAATCAGATCCTCAGAACTAACATGCTGGCACTTGTTCCACTACGCCACAGAAGCGCCGCATGGGTCAAACTCCCAAACCCTTGAGTCCATTCAGATCAATCAGGGGAATATCAGTTTTAAAAGAAATCAGCGGAATGGTTTGGGCGCTATTGTTTACTATTGCCGTCAAGCGATGTTTCGGTTTGAAGAACCTACTAAACATGGATTCTGGGTACACCACATGTTAGAGGTTGTTGCTTTTTTGTTGTTGTTTTTCCTTCTAAATTTAGCAAACAGGATTTATCCAACTTTTTGTTACCAGAAACCAGCAATGTTTTTTTTCTGGTTCAAGATTGCATAAGTTTCTTCTTTACAAAGAATTTGTAAGGAGAGAAAGTAAAAGGCAGCAATAATAATAATAATAACAATAATAATAACAACAATAATAATAATAATAATAATAACTATAATAATAATAACTATAATAATAATAACTATAATAATAATAACTATAATAATAATAATTATTATTATTATTATTTTGGAATCTTTAGGGAGATTTCTGTTGGTCCCTGTTATATTTTATGGGGTACTGGTTATATTTCATTTACATTTAATGTAAATATATATTCATTATATTACTTTAATCAGCTCATACAGGTGTACAAAACCCCAACAATTATTGTGACAAGACATTCACTTTAAAAATCCAATAAATTGTTTAAAAGTTTAAAATTCGAAAATCACATATGGACGCTTCCAGTTTATTTATCTTTATTAATAGTAATGAATAAAGTTTCTGGAATCCTGAATTATTTCCGGTTGAAAGACAATTGTCACAAATAATAATTCCCTACCAAGACTCGAACCAGCCAACCTTCCCACTGAAATGTTGAGCCTGTACCCACCAATTTAGCCACCTTGGCCATCCTGTTAGGACATGCAACATTTACTTCTATAATAGTAATAAATATATGGTAATTTCTGTTCTAGCATTACTGAGCCGAGTAATTGAGAAAATGTGGAAAATAATTCTCTTTCGGGTGACCAAATAAATGCAGCCATGAAGAGAATGGGGCTTGTCACAAAAGCTAGACAAGAGTAGACAAATTAGAAAACTAACTAGGCCAAGAAAATCTGTGCCATTCTACAGCATCACTAGTTTTTTATTTATTTATATAGCTAATTTTGTACAACAACCTTTTTCTGATGCAAATATATCTTCATTTTGGAATTTTTTTTGCAACTTTCAAAAAAGACGAGCAATACCCAAAAATAGTAAAAAATTGTACTAGCACAATATTTCTTCTTGTCCCTATTATGTATGTAGAGAAAATTTAAAGAAAAAACATGGAACATTTTTTAACTTTTTTGTAAATTTCAAGTGCAATTTATCCAAAAAATCTTCTTTTTTTCCCCCCTCAAAAAATTGATTTTAGGGCATTTTTTAGAGAGCTAATTTTGTACAACACACTTTGTGTGAGAAAAACCTTTATTTTCAATTTTGTGCTTTTAAAATTGTTTTTTGTTATTTTCGACAAAAACGAGCAATACCCAAAAATGGGACTTACACCATATTTCTTGCCATCTCTCTATATGTGCAGAAAATTTGAAGACAAAATTTGAGCGGTTTTTGAAAAAACAATCCTAAATTTCTAGCACAAATAATGCAAAAACTACTTACATTTCCAAAAAAAAACGTACCTGACCTTTTTAAAGAGGTAATTTTGTACTGTTATTTTCCAATTTCGTAATTTTAAAGTTGTTTATTTTGCAACTTTTGCAAAAAATTGGGTTTATCTCCAAAAATGAGACCTACACAATTCTCTTAAATGTCTTTTGCACTTCTGAAAAATAAAATTTAATCAAAAAATTTAGAGCCATTTCGAGGGGGCTTCATGTAAAGTATCCTCAAATTAAATGATCGGTTTTAAATCCCAGTGGCCGCGATGTCAGCCAGATCGATTGGGGAATATTAATTTTGGAGAAAATCGGCCAAATTGTCTAGCTGCTAGCGTTGACAATGGGCAGACAGATGTTTTGCCGTCAATTGATTTTTCACTATCAAGAACCAACAAAACATGGATTCTGGCTGCACCAAGTGTTAGAGGACCATTTCTTTCTTCCGCTTATTCTTCTTTTTTTTTTTCTTCAGTCAGGATTTAACCACTTTTTTTCGTTGCCAGAGCCTGGCTATAAGAATTTTTCGACAGTTTCCGACACGATTTCGTAACCTTCTTTTACGAAGAATTCATAAGGTCAAAAACAAAAAACTTGTTTCATAACTGAATACCAATATAGGCGGACACATGGCAATTGGTTATGTCAAATCACAGTTGTCTGTTCAGAATTTGGGCATTCAATTCATTCATAATAAAACTAAAGGTGGATTCCTGACCACAATAGTTAGCTGCAGTAAAATGCTCATTGTACATGCTTGGATACAATAAAAAACAGATGTCTATACTTCCATTTGATTTAAATAATGTTGGACCATTTCTAAACCCTTGGAATGCTGTTGGCATAATTTTACACAAAATAATTGAATTGTGTACCAAAAAGTTAACAATACAATAATTCAAAACTTACTCGCTCAACGAGTATGCAGCCTGCAAGGTTTTTTTAGAATATGACTTCAAATTGTGTGTTTTAAAATTTCATAGTATGATCAGGCCAATTACTATTGAAATACTCAACCATTTATTGTATCTATAGATTAACAATAAGTGCTTGTAAACGTCAATGGGCCATTCAGATAATTATTTGTAAATTGTTAAGAGAAGAATTCAATAGTTGTTCTGAAAAAGCAATGTTTATTATTAAATTTAGTCTCTCGCATGATTTTTCTTTTCATAAGTTGGCAATACCTTATTTAGGTTAAGTTGACTTTGACTGTTGTATTTTTTTTCTTTCTGTTTTGAATATTAGTCCACATTGTTTACATCGAAAGTGTATTATCATTAGTCTGTGGTTGTGAAAATTATAATTCAGAGCAGTTTCCACTCATAGCTCAGAAGAAAATGTCAACAATTTCACAATTAATGCAGCATAACTCCTAGGCTGTGAGCCAGTGTTTCCAGTTGCGATGACTTTTGTAGCAATTTTATATCCATTACTCCTAAGAATGCCCAATTAGTTATGTTATATAATGTCATCTGATTCCTCAAAAAAAATGTACTATGTATTGAATTAAAGAGAAACCTTCGCCATATAACTTCATTAAATATCAAAATCTATTCGTGCACAGGTTTTCCATTTTCCTAATTTCAACTTATTTTATTTAAAAGAATAGGCAGGAAAGGACTAAATTTTTTCTTACCTTTTAGGGAAAATAGATTTTACTTTTAAAGTATTTTTGGGGGGGTACTTCACATGGGTGTTCAAATTAATTACTACCGCAATCCATCATACTAACATTGTTGGAGAACCAAAACAACATGAATGTCAAAATTAGATAGTGAACTAGCGTACCTGCTGAAGGACAGTGGGTGTTATTGGGTTCAGAGTCTTTCATAAACATCAAATGTAATACTTCTTGCATGTATCTCATACATGGGGAAAGAAAAAAGGAAAGCAAAAAAATCTTGTTTAATTGAAATTGAAAAATTCTTGAAATTTTTAAGAATGCCTGTTTGATCTGTTTCAGGTGGACGACGTGGTGGCGGTAGAGGGGGGTCACGAGGACAACCCCGATCCCTTCCCACTGCTGAAGAATTGGATGCAGAATTAGATGCATATGTCAATAAAGTGAAGTAACAGCACAAGACAGTTCACTTTAAAACATTGTTGAACCTGTGTTCTATTGCAGACAGTGTAGAACGTCATATAACTCGTGTAAATTTGAATTGCCACATCTTTCATGATACATCTCTTGTCCCACTGAAATTTGTCAGAAAAAGTGATGTATTGTGGTGGCATTATCATAAAAGAGTTTTCTTCTTTTTAATTTTTTACTAGTGATGTGGTGATTTGGCTCAATATTAAGCACTAGCTTTGTGCAGACATCTTGGAAATTTTCTATGGATAACTTTTTAGAATGTTGATGTGCCTAATGGTTTTCAAGCACATCCAAGTTCAAGAAAATAAAATAAAACAGTACATGTGTACTTTCTATTATCAAAGGGGGCATATAGAAATCAGGGATATTGTCAAGATGCCTTCATTATGAATCAACTTTAGAGTATTAAACACAGTTCAATGTAAATTATCATTGTATTTAATATGCCAGTTGTGTGTTGGAAGTCATATGAAAAGATGTGTGCTAAAGAAAAGTGGAATTTCATGAATGTTGGGTACATTTTTACAAGTGTGATGTGGTATTTCTGTGTTTAAAATGTATATTATGTACACAATATGTGTACTACTTTTAGAAATATGATGACATTTTAATTTATGTTTATTTCAAGAAAATATAAAGTTTGAAGTACAAAATGTTTGATATTGAAAATACATGCTTTTATATGATTTGCCTGCCTAATGTAAGGTCCTTTCTACTTAATGTAACAGGAAAAGATATGCTGAAAGAACATAACTTGGAAGGAGAGCCAAATTTTTCTTCTCCGAATGGAGATATATTGAATAATGGTGTTTAAATTCCTTCATGTTTTTGATACTGATTTAAGTACTGGATGTGGAGGTTCAATAATTAAAACAAACTAGTCGTCTTCACTTAAAAATAAAAAATAGTTTTAGCAAGAATGTGATTGCTTTTGAAAGAGTTTGTTTCCAATCATAAGTATAAGGAATTTATTGGTCAGTGTTTGTCTTTTGAGTGAACTGCGCATACAAGAAGTTACATTTCAAATTTGTGAATGAAGTTGTCTTTATATTAAACGTCAAAATTGTTATGTTTGCTACAGAAATTCTTAGCATTTCGAAAAGAAATCTTGTACTTGGAAAATATTGGAAACTTTGATTACTGTGAAGCTTTACTGCAATTCATCCTAGTTCTCCCTGAAGTGTTAGAAAATGCCTTGATAATATTCTAAAGTCGATCTCCCCTTTACTGCAATTTAGAGGAAAATCTCAAGATTACTGACTGGCTTGTGTGGAAATCAATGCAAGGTTGAGCAGTCAAAATATTCCTTCTTTTTACATAAGTTGAAATTAGCAAATTTCAGGGAAATAAATAATGGAAGAATTGATTTCACTAGTTGACTTTGTTGATGTGATGAGCCATTGTTAAGTATGTTAAATTTTGTTAAAATATTGATTTTAGTGTGATTGTGATCCCACTTTCTTATAGATTTCACGTATGCTAATTTTGCATTCAGTAATTCAATTTATTTAAATACATTTTAGCAGTAAAACTAATCTTACATAGTACTTGCTCTATACTTGAAGTGTTGAAAGTTCAAAAATTGAAATCTTATTATCATGTTTTCAAGGGATTGTAAATTTTGCAAGCAGGAAGTCTTGTCAAAATGCTCATTGTCATTTTTACATTTTCTCCTTGGGAACGTAGTAATGGGGATTACTATAAATAATACTAATTAGATTCACATATAATTAAATAAACTTAAATTTATTGCAAATAATCAAATAGAAACTTAATTACATGCATACAGAAAAAGCAAACCAAACAGTGTGTGTGTTTTCAGTCTAACTCAAAGAAATTGGTAATGTTACAGAACAATAAGACCCAAAATGGTGGATGCAGAGTAGGAAACTATTCTCTGGCTCTGGGTATGTAATCAGACCAAAGGTCCATGAATACTATCTTTCTCTCCGTTACACAGTGGTAGGCTCAAGTACACCAAATTACCTTGCAATCAATACATTCGTTTACTGTTGTACCAAAAATTGCATTAATTGTAGAACGTGTTACAGGCAAATTTTAAACATTCTAAATAGGGACTGTGAAATGTAGAAATGAGAATTGAACAGAATTGTGATCTGAATTAAAAAAAAATACTGATGTGTTATAGAGGAAAACATGGTAACAAGATTTCTCTGTGTATGATCCGAAAGAAAGTGGAGTAGAAATTCTGACTTGACGTTTTTTTGTTCCGTTTAGTTTTTCTAAACGCGACCCGAGTAATTGATTTGACAACTTGCATGCTATTTGAATTTCATTTGAAAAGCTGAAGGAATACTAAGGACTCGTAAAAGTTAAATTAGTATAATTAGTTGTAGAGTAATTTTTCCAGTTGGCAAATTACTGTACAACTAAGAATTCTAATTGTAAGAAAAATGGTTGGTTTCTTATTGGATGTAATATATAATGCGAGTAATTACTGTATGTTTTGCTGGATGACAAGCTAAGTATTCTGCTTCTTTAAATAAATCTCCATATTGGCTGTGATAGGACCTGCAACTTTGATCTACTCATAGTTGCTTAGTAATATTATACCAGTATCTATTGTTGATCACATCTTTCATCTTTAACATTAATAATTTTTAATCTTCCAAAAAAGCAGCATTCTTGGAAATGACTTAGTGTGTGAGAATAGGAAGAAATATGTTTGTATCAGAACGAGAGTTGGTTTCAAATATTAGGAAATGTATCTGATGTAGATTTCTTTTTTCTTACAAGTCAAGTTAGTGGAATGAAACTGTGGCTCATGTTTTCTTTATCATTTTATGATTTGATGGATTGTGTTTATTGAGTGTATCTAATTTGGACAAACATCTAGTTCCTGTCTTTATTTTCTCAGAAAGAAATAAATATTAGATACTAATGAATTCTAGTTTTATTTTTTTATTTTTTATACTAACAAGTCTAGTGAAGCAGGCACAAGTGCACTGGAATGCATCTAAATTTGGTATGAGTTTATCTTGAACTGTTTCAAAATAATTTTTCTGAAATGACTGTAAATTTTAAGTTCAGAATGAAAGTGTACAGAAGTATTTGAATTGGGTTGTAGTATGATTATGTGACCTTGGTATTTCATTGGGAACAAATAAATATGTTGTCTCATTTTATACTGAAAAATAATTGAGACCACATCTGAACTATGTAGAAAACCCTTCTGTGCATGCTCCTAAATTGTGATTTACAGGTGTGCTCCCTCCATAGCCCTGGCCTGCAGTTGGGCAGCCAACTCTAACTTTTCTTCGTTATTCATTATAGTGTGTATCAACTACAGTTGATGCCTTTTGACAGCACTGTGTGCACAGGGCACAAAGAACATAATATTGGTTGTTATCACTCGTACACCTGCCCACCAACTCCTGAATTTCGCTTCCTTGGGAATGCTTCACCTTGTATTCACAAGGGAAGGTGTGTTGGTGGCTTTTTAAATATGGTTCATCTTTATGCAGTTTTTCTTACACAGGCTTCCTGGAATAAATGTCTGGTTGATAGGATGGTCCCTTTTTATTGCAAGAAGTCTGAGAAAAAGTTTGTTTTTAATTATTATTGTTTGTATTTTTGTGTAATACAATGAATACTTGGGGAATTCTTAAAACACCCGTGCTAAAATTTGTATGTGTCATACTTGTAAGAGCTATGGATGTTGCTAAGTAGTGTGTTGAAATAGCCCGTTGTAGTGTCCTAGCTGAGCATTGCAGTGCATTGTATAGGATTGGCTAACCAATAATTATTTCTCTGAGAATATAACTATTGCCAAAGTAATTGAAAACATGAATCTGCACTAGGTTTATTATATATAACATTCCAGGGAAAAAAAAAAAAAAAAAATTGTTTCCTCATTCATGTCAGCAGATAAGCAATGTGATCCATGACAGAAAATGTTGCCCTGTGTAAGGCTACACATTCAACATTTAAGGAAAAATATATTTCTTCGCGAAGTCTCCCTACAAAGTCATAATGTAAGATTAAGATCTTTGAAAAGAAATATATTTTGTAAGTTGTAGCTCATTTGACAGTTCACTGAACGTTGTAAATTCGATACTTATATGCATAAGTTTCCCCACCCCCCAAAAAAGCATGCGAATAATGCCGAAAATAGGATAATTTGACTACTTGTATGCGCGTGTAACGATGAGGTAGTGCAATGCTGATTGCGGAATAGATCGTGGGTTCGAATTTTCGATGCTTGCCAGGCGACACGGGACACGGTTATTAACCTATATGCAACGGACAGTTATGAATTTCTGATAGACAAGGAGGTGGCAACAGTTAAGGGCGATCTGCTCTATTCTGGCGACTGACACGCTGGCATTGTTGCTGGCCACCGCTGATGGCTTCACTCTGAGCGGCTTGCTCCCCATCCTCTTAATCGATTTATAGCCTATCATCTTCACTTGCTCCAATGTCCCCGCTTGATCGACACCCACATCGACTTGCTGCCCATCCTCCAATGATTGACTTGATTTCCATCCGTCTCTTGAATGACTTGCTCCATCCGACTTACTTGCCATCTGCCACTGAACGACTTGCTCTCCAACCCTTACAATCCTGTTCTAATATGTTGTAATATACACCCCTAATCCCATTATGTGGTCTAATTTTACGAATAGTCACAGAAAAAATATTGTTGTTTTTTCAAATCGTCCTCCTGACAGCCTATCTCCTCTGAACGCCACTAGCGCCTAAACTTCCTGTAAGATATTTTCCAAACTAAATACTCCCCGGTCGATCTGATATCATTCAAAGGTCTCCGATTTTGTATAGTATTCGTTAATTATTGGAGGTTGCCTTGCGAAATTTTCCTTCAAATAAAATTTGTTCACCATATTTAGTTTTTTCATTAAGGATATGTACATTTTTTGAAAATTGTAGTCGTTTTCGCGCTACTTTTCGTGAAAAAATGCAATATTAACAATATCAAAAACAAGAATTTCTCAAAAACGGCTCCAATTTTTTTAAAAAAACTTTTGGTGGGTTTAGTGTTAAAGATACCGAGGAGATGACCTAAACGCCATTTGCGCTATTCTTTTGTTGTTGTTTTCTTCAAATATTACACAATTGTATTTATTTTGACATCTCTCTTGCGTTGTCAATATTTACATTGACGTCGATTTGTTCACATTATTACATTTATGAGCATGCCAAAACCGTTAAGCCGATGTTTTCCAAAACTGATATTCACCGATTGATTTCATATGATCTCGAGGCCGTTTGCGATTGAAACGAAAATTTTGATTTTGGGAGATATTTTACATAAAATCTTAACTACATTTTCAAAATTTTCTCAAAAATGGCTTCAAATTTTGTGATTAAACTTTGTTCTCGAATAGCGTAAAGAATACTTAAGAGAATGGTGTGTGTCATGTAATGTTATGTTATTAGTTCCAATTGCATTTCTGCAATTTTTAAGGTGAGAGTTTGAACTATCTTCAGCTTCGTGCGGCGTACCCATACGGGCACGCTAGGCAGACAAGGGTTAAAGACGTTTCATTGGAAAAGCTGAGAAGAAATTAAGGACAATTCCATTCTGGTGGTGTATACCTTTCTAATATTGCTTTATTGTAATGTTAGAGGTTACGCATGCGGACGGGTTTAAATGTGAGATAGTATCATGTTCACGATGAGTCGTTGAGAGCAAAACTGTGGGTAATAACCTTTAAATTATTGGCTTTACCACGATTTCCGTCCAAGAGATAGGGATTTTTAAGTTGCATTTTTGACCTGTGCACATATCACAAAAACAGATTAAAAGTTGTTGTTGTTTTTACATGCTTCTTGCGTGTTTGGTACTGATAAACAAGAAGCAATTTCTTGGGAGTCTCTGAGAGCTCGTTTCGCCCCACCTGTGACTTACACCACTAATGCATGCAGAGGTATGAGCAACTTGTTGGCGTCTTCTGCATTGTGCTGGCCTCTAGCGGAGAAATATTGAAGTTTGGCTCACAGCATTTTAGCCCGTGATGGAAAAATGTCAAAAGTATCTACCAATGCCTCTAACTCAAATCTTCCAAAATTTGACTTACTCTCCTTTTCTCTCAACGGCTCAGATAGTGTTTTCATTGAGAGACGAATGAATGTCGTAATTGGCATTTAGCAATCCTACTATGAATCCCCCCCACATAATAGTGAAACGTTGATTGATTGATTGTTTGATTAGTGATTCCAGGCGCGACAACGTAGCAAGTTTTTAGTCCCGCAAGTGTAGTGCATTTTTATCGCTGGAGAAGGCGGTGATCTCTCGCTATATGGCGTGATTTGGCACCGCTCTACGTCGGCTTGTAGGGTATTTTACTCCACCAGGTTTCCCCCACCAACGTGACACCACCCCGGCCGGGATCGGCTCTAAGCTCCCTACTGGTCTCCCATCAAGTGGGGTAGTTTAGTAAATGTGAGTGTGTGTGAAAGGGAGGTGAATAGGACAAGGAAGAGGAATGAAAGATCGCACGCGGTCCACGGCCCGTTTGTTAGGCATTAATCTGGAGTTGATCGAAGAAACCACGGAAAACTGCCGTTCAGAGCAGCCAGCCGCTAGAAATCTTCTCTAGACAACGGCTGTACAAGACGTCTAGCTAGTGTCGAAAATTCAGCCACTGTCGGGACTCAAACCTTAGGATCCCCGGTCAGAGGCAGTGACATCAATTGAGGACCTGAGTCACCTTTGCCGGTGTGAAACTTTGACATACTTTATAAAAATGAATAGTATAAAAATAAACTCTAACCTGTGCAATTTTGGCAATTAATATATTTTTGTATGTATAGGAACTAATATACACATTTGTTTACACAATATTGGTAGCTGCTATTCAGCGGGGTCCCTGAATATGTGCTAAGTCTGCATCTCACACATTAATCTTCTTCTGGCTACACACTTAGCAAAAATTTTCAGCTATATACAGAAAATCGTATAAGATATTTATCACTCCTTCAAATAAAATTTGTTCACCATATTTAGTTTTTTCATTAAGGATATGTACATTTTTTGAAAATTGTAGTAGTTTTCGCGCTACTTTTCGTGAAAAAATGCAATATTAACAATATCAAAAACAAGAATTTCTCAAAAACGGCTTTAATTTTTTTAAAAAAACTTTTGGTGGGTTTAGTGTTAAAGATGCTGAGGAGATGATCTAAACGCCTTCCTTCCTCGGTTAGTTACATACTCCTTTCGATCATCTTCGTAGATCCACCAGAAATGTGTTGATTCTAACATGAATTGTCACCAACAAAATCTACATTTCTCGAGATTGTTTTCTTTCATTTTACTTCCAGAAAAGTAAACCTCACCTCTGCGATACAAAGAAAATCCTTTTTCAAGAAAAAGTCATAGCACTTGAAGTGTGTCACAGTCAGAATTGGATGCGTTCTATGTAGGTCAGTTCTTATTCAACCCTCCAAACCATCCCCTTTATCTTTGTGTATTGCGTTACAACAATGCTTAAAGTTTGCCTCAGGTCAACAGAGGAATGTTTTAATAAAGGAGAAGCCACGCAAGTTAGATTTTCTCAGATGTAATCGTGTTCAGGCTTTTCAAATTTTCCTTCTTTGCTTTTGATAATTTAATTTCACCCTGCAGGAGTCCTTCCTCTTCTGATTCTTCCCAGCAGCTGCATTTGTAATTTACGCGGGCGATGTTTTCGGAATTGCCGTTGACCCACATTCTCCAGAGAGAAAGTAAAAGTGGTGTACTCTCTTCCCTGTGGTCTCGCAAACCAACGAAAGGACTTTAGGTAGGAATTTTATTAATTGCACTGGAGTAGGATCTGTTTGTCGTTCAATGGGAAATGAAGTTCCATTTGTAGTTCAATCAGTCGGTTTTATTGTTGATGTGGGGCATCGATTTTGCAGGCAAATATCCAAGGGGAGGGGGGAGGTGTCACGAGGGTGATGACTCTCTTACAAAGAACTTTTTGCAATCGAAGTTTATGTATTTAATTTAGAGACGGATCGAGTGTCAGGCTAGGGTGTGAGGGTATAGGTTTATGTCCTTGTCATCAGTTTGAATCACAAAATTATTTTATACCGTAGCTTCAACAGAGACATTCTCCAGTATTTATTTTATCCATGCTGCAAGTTTAACAAATTTTTACAAATTGCTTGACGTAAATCGTTCTGAAAAATCTTTCAAATGTCTTTAAACGACTTCGAATTTTAGAAAGATGTTATATTTAGAGAGAAGTCCAAAAATTGCAGGATAATGTCTTTTA